GGGGGGCTGCAGTGATGGTTGACTTTCTACAACTTTCTCCCATCTCCCGACTGCATCTCTGGAGCTCAGCCACAGTCATCTTTGGGTTCTTCTGTACCTCTCTCACCAAGGCTCTTCTCCCCCGATAGCTCAGTTTGGCCGGACGGCCAGCTCTAGGAAGGGTTCTGGTCGTCCCAAACGTCTTCCATTTAAGGATTATGGAGGCCACTGTGCTCTTAGGAACCTTAAGTGCAGCAGAAAATTTTTTGTAACCTTTGACCTCATGATTTTCATTTGCTCTGACATGCACTGTGAGCTGTAGGGTCTTAGACAGGTGTGTGGCTTTCCTAATCATGTCCAATCAGTATAATCAAACACAGCTGGACTCAAATGAAGGTGTAGAACCATCTCAGGGATGATCAGAAGAAATGGACAGCACCTAAGTTAAATATACGAGTGTCACAGCAAAGGGTCTGAATACTTATGACCATGTGATATTTCAGTTTTTCTTTTTTAATAAATCTGCGAAAATGTCAAACATTCTGTGTTTTTCTGTCAATATGGGGTGCTGTGTGTACATTAATGAGGAAAAAAATGAACTTAAATGATTTTAGCATATGGCTGCAATATAACAAAGAGGGAAAAATTTAAGGGGTCTGAATACTTTCCGTACCCACTGTAAGTAGGATCATTTAAAATCTTTTGAAAATTTGTTTAGTGAAATTCTGCAGTGATTTCAGTCTTCATGTTGTATGTAAACCCTATCCTGTAGACAGCAGTTTTACTGCCTTGTAACAATAATAATGTACTGGAGTTTTAAGACCCAAGGACCTCACCGCTGGCAAAGGTGAATCATATGCAGAATGGATTACAAGTAATTTGAGAAAGGAGAAAAGTAGGAAATATATTATTCAGGAGATTAGTTTCCAGTTTGCAGGCCAATTTTGTGGCTGATTGATAGTGCAGTGCATCAGAAAGCAGGGAGGCCGGAGTACCACCAGTGACCATGGCTAAAACATAATGAACCTTCTCTTGACTGGACACCATCTGCATTAGCTTAATTTAATCCCTCCTTAAATAGCAACAAAGGATTAGGAAGGGATTTCTAAGACACAGACCCCGTGGAAGCTTCTTATGTAGGAACCAAAACATTTATTGTTCCAAATTATTTTTAATCTCAAATGATTTGACCCTTTAAAAAGTTATACTTGAAGGCAATAAGAAATTATTGCACTGTTAACATGTGTGCGAAATATGTATGAGCCAGAGTTTATTTAAAAATGTGACTGCTTTCTTTGTGTTACAGCATTTGTAATTTACAATTTCCTGAGTCTGTCCTTTGAGTACCTGGGAGGAGAGAGTGCAATCATGACAGAGATTCGAGAAAAGCCCATACAGTGAGTGCTCTCATTCTAGTCCTACATTCAGTCTGGGCATGTGTCTACATACTGCCTTGGAAGATTTTCATTTTGCAATAATGTGTTGCCTGAGCAGTAATAAGTATGTTAGCTAAGCCCTACTATTTACAATCACAGAAGGTACAAGGTGCATCTTACTGCCCTTGAATTAATATTTAATTTAAACACCACAGTGAAAATGCTGGCAATAAAAAGTAATAATCAGTGGTAATTAACCTTTATCTCAGAGCTTTTGACCACCCTTTTTATGGCTGATTCAAGCCACAAGGCAGCAGTTCTTTGCCAAGTTCTTAAGACATTAGAGCTCTGCCAGTGCTTAACACCAGGCATTGGAGACAGTTACAAACTCTCTTTTTGTCATTTTCCAGGTAATCTACTAGATTACATGTGAAGAACTTAAAATGCACTTCTAATAAAAACACATTCTGTCAGACTCAAGGCAGACAACAATAAGGAGTTGGACTCCTTGCATGCTGCAGGCAAATGCCAATTTGTTTTCTTCCCAGTTTGAATTGACTTTGACTGAATGTCAATGCTTATTTGCAAGTAATGAGTTTGCATTTGGGTGTCAGCAGCCTATCTAAAGTGGTTAAAAAGAAGTCTGATATGTAATCTGACTATGAGCTTGAATGGCCTGCTCAGTGTTATGAAGCTGAAGGTGCTCTGTAGTTGCACTTACAATGATTGTGAGATTTTATTTAGGTTGATAAACCATTTTAAACACTTTTGTTGGTTGTCAGTGCCAATTTTAACAATTTTAACCCTATAATTTATTGTTCTTACAGTGTTTGTTTTTTATATTTTTTACTTGTACATATAAGGGAAATATTAGGCCAGTGATACATCAAGCCGGCAGTCGGTTGTCGGTGAGCATCTGTCGCGCTCATCTTCGCTGTATGTCCCGCACAGTTGGCACTAGTCAGACCCTGTCGGTGGCTTTTTAGCCAGTTTGGCATATTGAATTGGCAGTGGGCCTCGTCGGTGAGAGAGACCAGTCTGAATGGCTGTTCAGCTAAGCAAATCAATGCACACGGGGAGAACGGTTCAGGAAAGCCCCTTTAGAGCTTTCACCTGCTTGACAAAGGCACAGACTGAGCTACAACCTAAAACCCGCCATTCACTTTTTTTTTTTTTTTTTTTTTTACCTCCCCAACCTCCTTTTGTTCATAAGACCAAGGGCAGAGAATGCCAGTGCCAAAGACAGATGCTTTCTTTACAAATTGTATTTCCACAGTCTAGCTCTTATTCTCTCCCATTTCTGAATGGCGAATACAGCTACCACCACCTGCTGGTAGGGAGAGCTATTTCTCTCACGCAGGTGCAGAACATACATGCTAGGTGGCCGTTGGCTGTAGTCTGTGCGGCGTGTTCAAGTGCCAATTTTTTGACCCAACTGGCCCAGACAAAGGCCAGGCGACACAACTGTTGGCCTACATCGCTGATAGTTTTTTCATGTCTGCTTGGAGTGTGTCTGTCCTGTGGAAGACCTTATACCATATAGCAGTCAAATACAGCACCACCCAGAAAATATTTGCAGAACTAAGTCGACATACAACCAGCTAAAGTGGTAAGGCCTGCTAGGGTTGCAACTAACAGTTATTTTTATTTTCATGATTGATTAACCTGCAGATTATTTTCTTGATTAATGTGTGTTTATAAAATGTCAGAAAATACAAATGCACAGTTTACAAAAGCCAAAGGCAACTGTATATGCTGCAGTGAAAGTCTAATCTGCCTTCTTTGTTCAAATGTCTTGTGTTGTTTGAACAGCAGTTCTTACCCAGAGATGTATTCTTTTTACAGTTATGTAAAACAGAAAAAACAACAAGTCCTTACTGTTAAAGAAGCAACTGTCTGGCAATTTTGCTTTAAAAATGACTCAATGATTAATAGATTGATAGAACAGTTGCTGATTACATTCATGTCATTGGACTGATCCATAAATCAACTAATAATTTTTTGTGTGTGGCTGTTTTACATGTGCACCTTGCTTTTCCTATCTCATGCTTAACATATGATGTTTCAGTGTTGCATAATGTAATGGCTCATCATTTCCCGTTGACTTTGCAGGTCAAGTTGTCTGTATGGTACCTGCTGCCTCGTTGGAAGGAGCTACTCCATCGGCTTTTTAAGATTCTGCAAACAGGTGAGCTTCAATCATTCCCTTGTTGCTGCTCTAGAAAGGCTCCCTGGAAATTACCATTCTGTCCAGATCTTCAGACTGCTTAAAACTGACAGTTGTTATAATTGACTGTGTGCTCTTCGGAGGATAACATCCACTGGTTCAAAAAAGTGAAAACAAAAGCAATTGAGGCCAGGTGAAAGAAGCTTGATAATAAACCAAGAGATGATTTGAGCTGTCAGCACAGAGTTCCCTTCTAGTGTCTTGGGATGCAGCACAAGCTCCCAAGCGAACGCTGATGGATATTGGAACTGAGTTATGTCTTCAAAACAAAACACATGGTGAAATGAACATTTTTTTCATATGCGGCAAGTGATGAACACTCTATGTGCCTTGACAGAAATCCTACGTGAAGTGTTTTAAAAAGGAAAACCTTTCAAGTGTTTTTGGTGGCATTTCTGAAAGACAGTTAAAGATTATTTTGAAGATTGAAGATCGGATTGAATTGAAGTTGGATGGTGTCTATGCTGTGAGAGTACAGGCTTTGAGTGAAGGCTTAGCACTGAGCTGTCTGCTTTTAAAACAGCTAATTGTCATTCACTGAAAAAAATTCAGAAATCAATGTACAGTATCAAACAATTCAGAAATTTATTAAATGCAGTTTTTCAGGTGAACTCCCACGAAGCTATAGAAACTACCTGGATTCAAAAAACGATCAACTGCTGTCATACATATTAATTTATTCTGAGTGGATTGCTGAAGCACTCCATCATATTGATCACACAGTATTGTGGCTTGGAGTTGGAAAACACCAGGTTGTGCTCGCTGAGAGAGAATTTCGGACGGCTTTGACAGCTCATCACAGCCAAGAATTAAAAGTACCAGATAAGACCCTGGTAGAGCAACAGATCTAAAAGGCCTTGATCCATTTTGGGGTTGGATAAAAAGAAACATTAACTTTCATTTCACATTATGGGAAGGCTTCAGCACATGATTAAAGGAGGGGTTAACAAATAGATCAGTGACATGCAAAAGTAGCCTAGAGTTATGGTGGTAATATGAGATAAGGATAAGCTGCTTTTGCATCTTGTATCCTAAACCTTTTTTGGGGTCATTTCAGCTTTAAGTCTTTTATCAGACTGTAGGACACTTGCAGGCCTTATTTTCCTGAAACTGAGTGGTACAAGTGGAATCCTGTCAATCCCAGGGGCAGCTCCCGTGCTCATAATGGTGATTGGGGATCCAAATAAATTAAAAAAATAAAAGTCAGCGCGAGTGACCAACATAATTTTGCAGTTTTGGTAACTTAAACCAGGCAACGCCTATAAACAGTACATGATGAAAGGATAAGGCCAGTCATTTTCTATATTAACAGTATTGTCAATACTCCCCATATACAGAGACTAAAACCAACAAAACCACACCCTGATATTTTTTAAAAAATGTTGCCCCAGAGGCTCTGAACAGCCAAAACGTTCTATGGCATCAAAAGCCCATGTGTGAGATCTCTTGATAATCTTTGCAAATATCAGCTCCTCATGGATGGTGTCATAGCCAGATATGTGCAGTGATGTGTTTGAGCTCTAAATGACTTTACACCAGCACAAAAATCAGAATTTCAGTACATCTGGCTTTTCACTGCCCATAGTTTTGTTTTTCTTTAGTAATAAAGGGAGAAATAGCAGTAAGAATAAAAAGCAGTTGGTACAAAATATGATCCATAAATGACTTGTTGTTCAGCATGTTTTTTAAATCAGAAAGTTTCCTTGCAAAATAAATAAAAATGTAGGAATAAACAGCAGCACAGAGCCTGGGAGTATCATAAGGCAGCAAGACAATAAAAACAGTGGCCTTGTGTGCTGATACATTAATTTAATAATTAAACAGTTTGAACAGATCCACTTTGGAGGTCTGTTTATAATACACAAAGTAGAGGGTGTTGTTCTTAGTTGGGAACACCATTAGTGAACTATTGCTGTGAACACTGAATTTGTTAAACTATTTATAAAATTAATACCATGAAAGTGCTTTGGGTCACTTCAAGCTGTGAATTTTAAATGAAACATTATTTGGTATTGTAATGGAAAATCCCAGCAGGCTGCTCACACAAATGTGAAAAGGCACATGTGGTGACGGATGTCCACATTATCCTAAACTCACAATCCATGTGTGTTCAAGTGCCACTTTTTTGACCCAACTGGCCCAGACAAACCTACCCCCAGTGGTGGGGTAGGTTGCAACAACAGAACTCTTTGCATTTGATTTGAACTCTGTGACTATGTAGTCATCCAAATGAGTTTTATTTGTAGTAAACAAATATGACTACCTTGTATCAAAGTTCGACAGATCTATCATGAACAGCCACCAAGTTAGTGATGCTCAAACAAAAGGTGTTAGAATCATCCCCGGTCTCCCCTCCCTCTCCTCTGTGTTTCTGCTTTTGCAGTTAACATGCAAATAAAATCTTTAAATTCTTCATCACCCTCCAGCAGAACCTTTCTCTCTGCTGCTTTGACAGATTGCATTTTCTCCTGAGACATCTGCACGTAGCCAGTCAGAATCATGGTTTCAGCTGTTAATATATAGGCTATAGCCTAGTCAGTGAACACGAGAGCATGCTTTTATCTTGGATGATTGTCAGTATCATGGTTTACTTCCAACGTTTGAAGGAAAAGCAACTTCAACAAAAGAAACATTCTATGTATTTCACAACCTTTTTCTGTCGGGGGTTTTAAGTCTTATAATTAAAGCAATAACTTGACATTTTAGAAAATACACTATTTGCTTTCTTATCTGGAATTAAATCTGTTAAATGTAAGGCTACAGGCAGATGTTTAACATATCTTAGCATAAAGACTGGAAATGGCTACGCTGGCCCTGTTCAAAATCCATATTTCAACACCTTTAAAGCTCACTCATTAACATAACAGCTTGTTGATTAGAAGCGTACAAACACCAAAATGAAAAAGTGACAATTTGCTGTTTTATGAGGGGTTATTTGCTGGTCTATTTATTAGCTTTGAGCAACTGCGAGGCAACAAGCAGAAAGTTACTGTTCAGAGGCGAGAAGTAGTTCTACACATTAAGCAAGTGATCATTAAACAAATGATATGTAACATATTAATTAGTGGGCTTTTGTGGCGCTGGTAGGCTAAGAAGGCAGCACTTTCCCCTTTTCCAGTCCTTGCTAAGCTGACCATGCAGTTATAGGCGACTTAAGGATCAAACTGTTTGGTGAAAATGTAGTTGTCAGTCCAGATATCAAAACACTGCATCAAGTCCCACAATTAATGGAAGTGTTGAATAGATATAGCTTTATTTGACCTAGTGTATGAATAAAAGCGTGTGTGTATGTATAAATTAGAAAAAATAAATAATACGCAGTTGTGATGTAGGAAATGACCACTGGTTTTAGTTAAAGGGATTGGGAAACAGACACCTTCTTGTTGCTGAGCAGCTACAGATTCCCGCTAATTAGACTTACAAACAGGTTCAGATGTCCTCCTTCATCCTTCATCCTCCTCCTTCATGGTGTCATTGCATTCTTGGGTGTCTCATTCTGAATTATAAACGTGTTCTCCAGGCGACTCTTCAGTTCTGTGTTGTCAAACCCATCATGGCAGTCATCACGATCATCCTGCAGGCCTTTGGCAAATATCACGATGGAGATTTTAAGTGAGCAGTACTTTTCTTTGCATTTCATTCTTCATGTATCTTATGCACCCATGTCATTGCCAGTAGGCTTGTTTGCTGTTTATGTGCATATGGAAACAATTTGCAAATGGAGATAATTATATCACCTCTTCACAGCAGGCATGATGAAATTGTTTGAAATGAAAGAGTTCTGTTTCATGCTGAAAATGCTAGGTTAAAACTTTGCAGCTACTTTGCTGTATGTTGTCCCAGTTGTATCACTGTCCTATTCAGACGTTTATTGCAATATGGACTAATGAAGTTATATTGCAAGTTTCCCCTAAATATATGTGTTCTAAAATGAAGCCCCTTAATTCTTATGGTATGTTACACTTGGCAAAGCACAGTATTATATAGCAAGATGCATTGTTTCATTTCATACTTTTTATTTTGAATGTCAAGTGATACCTAGTCTAGGGATAAGCTGCAGACTGACAAATTTAATTTTAGTGTATTGCAGTACTTAGAAGGAGCCAATAAGAGTCTCAACAGAATATGGAGGGTATAATATATTCAATAAAGTTGTCTTTAGTGTATAATCAAAAGCTATGAATTCTGCCGCCTATAAACTCCACCAGACTTAATTTCAGGTGCTCTTCTCCGCCTGCCTGTTCAGTGTCTTATTCTGAAGATTCATCTGTGACAACACTTGTTTCTAAACTACTGAGGAGAACCATGGACTTCGAGGGCTTGAGAAAAGTTCCAAATAGCTTTTTATCATCACCCTCTTTTTTTTAAAATGTAGACATGATTACATTCTTGCATATTTTTCCATATACTTCAATGGTAAAATTAGTAGACACAAATATCTTTTTAATGTCTTTCTTTAAGCTCATTGGCAAGACCGTGATAATTTACTGATTTGAATGCTGATGCGCTTTCAACCACAACCAACCATACACTCTATATTGCATGGGAGTAATTAGCGTAGTCACAGCTGAGCCCTGAGAGGGCCCCTCGTGAATGCAAAGATGTTAAAAAAAACCTGGCTGACAATGAAATATAGACAAATCTGCCTGTTTAGCAGATGCATCCTGAAATATGAAGGCCATGTATAAACAGCTGCTTGTTGAAATAAGATTAAAAAGGCTGCATCTCCTTGTATTTATTCATTAGGGCTAAAAAAATATCCTTACATTTAAGTTGGCAGTTTTTTCATTAAGCCCAAAATAATAAGTGGAGTCAAAACATGCATAAATTGTTTCTGTTTAAAAAAAAAAAAACACATAGGGAGGTTTACTGTACTCAAGCTTGCCATGTCATCACATATGGGGAAAAATGTCATATAGGTTATAAATTTACAACATACTTGACAGTGGGGTTTTCCCTAATCCTTTTCTGTGCAGCGTGAATGGAGGATACCTGTATATCACCATCATCTACAACTTCTCAGTCAGTCTGTCTCTCTACGCTCTCTTCCTCTTCTTCTTCGCCACAAGTGACCTGCTCAGGCCGTATGAACCGGTGCTCAAATTCCTCACAATCAAATCTGTCATCTTCTTATCCTTCTGGCAAGGTAACCACACCCTTCCTTCTTTCTGTGTGTGTGTGTGTGTGTGTGTGTGTGTGTGTACCAGTACATGAAAGTAGTGATTGACGATAAAAATGTTGCTGCTTTGTAGGAATGATCCTCGCCATCTTGGAGCGCTGTGGCGTCATTCCCAACGCACTTGTCATCGACGGACATAAGGTCGGAGCTGGTACCGTGGCAGCAGGCTGGCAGAACTTCATCATCTGCATTGAAATGTTCTTTGCAGCCATTGCCCTCCGATATGCCTTCACCTGCACGGTCTACCAGGAGAAGAAAAATCAAGTGCCAGGTAATTACAGTAACAGTAATGAACTAATATTCAATCTGGATTTTTGGACTTGAATATTGTGAGCTGTGTGCCAGTTAAGTTGGAAGTCAGTACAGGTACCTATCAGCCTAATGGCTTACTTTGTTTTACATGGCTCAGAGGACAGCTGCCATTAAAGATGTACAGAGGAAGATGAAGAAAATTTCAAAATATTGTACAGTAACTAGCAGGGAGTAAGCAGCACCCTTTTGACATCAGTGCTTGCAAGTAAAAGACAAATGAAAGCCAAGGGAAAAGTCTTCTGCAGGGGCACCAATCATTTTGCCGTTCCTGCTGTAGGAAACCCTCTGTCCCCTTGAGCTGTTTAACATCCAGAAGTAATGGAAGAGATGATGAAAACTCAAGAATATCTTTATCAACCTTATGACCTTTTTTCATTTTTTTAAAGATGAAAATCTAAGAAGGTAATGACATAAAATTAATGATTTTCATCTCTGTCCATATGGATAGAAAGCCATTATCCATCTTGCTGTTCAGTTGGGATGTAATAATAATGTTGCTCCAAGATGTTTTACAGCTGATAATTATGCTATTTGTTTTGGTTGATTAGTTTTATTGCTTCAGCCACCCTGCCCCTTCTGATAAAAGAACTTTTTGGACAGTAACACTAGTTCTGCACCCCCACCCTCTGATGTGTGTCAGTGTAGAGGTTCCTCTGCTTCAGCCCTGTGGAGTAGGCAGACTATAAGGAGAAAGTCGGCAGACCATGCCAAACTGCCCTGTATCCCTCACCCCACCTTGTCCCCCTCTCTATTCTACACCCTTCATAAACCGACCAGACAGCACTGCCACTGACCCTGAAACAGAAGGCTGTGGATGTCTGCCGGCTCTCACACATTCATTTCTGGGGTAACATCAACCTGGCTCACAGCTGGGTGCTGAGGGACCATCACTGGAGATGGTGGCTGTGACTGAGTTCCGTTCAGCCCATTTATAAAGTGCAGGCTGGGAAAAAACCATGTATAGAGAAAATCATACCTATATCCGTAAAACAAACCTAAATTATAGCTATTTAGGTTTGGAGGGAGCCAGTGGAGAGAAGCTAATACGGGAGAGATATGATCACAAGTCAGGATTTAGCAACCTTTGGATCAAAATTTGATGACACACCCACACGATCCTGAGCTTTAGAGCCTTGCACATCAAATAATCCCTTTTGATCCACATTTGTTGATTGTTGCACATTTAGTAACGAATATTTAATGTCATAGAGAAATACTACATTTGAAAATGTTTTCAGGGCTTTTGTACTGTATTTTTTCAGTTTTATTGATTAACAGTAAATCGAATTAAAGTTGAATTGACATTTTACAATACTCACTAGTATTTTGCCAGTAAGTATTGTAAAATGATTTGAGTCAACTTAAATCATGAAGCCAGTGTGGTTCCAGGATAGACCAGCATTTTCCTATAACCCCTCTTTTGGTCTTCAAGAAATAATATTGATTATATACTGAAGCAGCACTGTTTTATACACATCTTCATTTTCCTCCCTCCTTATTTGTATGGAGATGACCAGATTGATCCCTTTGTTTCAGATATGTAAAGCTGCAACATTGTGGTCACTTGCATTATTGTCTGAATATTCAACTCCCTCTGTCCCTGTTCCTGTGGGGTTTTTCTGCAGAAAACCTCCCCCAAATGCAGAGCATCTCCAGTGGTCTGAAGGAGACCATAAACCCAGGAGACATGGTGCAGGATGCGATCCACAACTTCTCTCCGGCATACCAGCAGTACACCCAGCAGTCCACGCAGGAGGTGAACCATTCCAGCACAAATGGAAAAGTGGCAACAGGCAACAGGAGCTCCCGCAAGTCTGACAAAATCATGCTGATCACTTCTGATGATGAATTCTAGAAAGAGCCAGGTTTTTGTGTCTACTATCTCTGACCACCTGGGGAAAGAGCTGCCGCATATCTCTAAGAGCTGGATTGAATCCATGTGTTTAATTTCTGTTATCACAGTATTTAAGATGGACTGCTTACATATATCCTGTTTTAATGAGTAATTTCAGCTCCAAGAAGGGGAAGAGCTTAATAATAGTTTTAAAATTGATAGCTGGGTGATCAGAGCGCTGATCTGTCTTCATCTCTGCAGTAATAAGCTATGCGTTTTATCCAGTCAAGCTGCTGGTGGTTCCGCTGACGCTGCTTTTTGTCTCTGTCATTACCTCAGTGCTTGCTCTTTGGTCCTCCAAAGTATGCTCCCTCTGATTCATGTCAGGTTCAAAGTGGGGATGATTAATATGCGACTCCGGGTGGGAAGCTGTTGAAGCCAGTGATGTTTCGGAATGACGCTTGATGGACAATCTCTTGCAGCTGCTCGTTTGAAGTATTTGCTGAGCATCCCTTTGCATATTTCCTGACAAATAGAAGGATTCATTCAAAGACACTCGTTTTGGAGCAGGCACTTCAAACTGCAGACTACGGCACTTGGCGATCCTTTGTATCTACTGAAGCATAGATAAATTGGATAAACTTGTCTCATACAAAGTGGGACTTATGTTATTTTCATAAATTTTTCCAGCATGCTAAATAATATAAGCAGAACACCATTCCACAGATGCTGACAATTAGTCTTCCTCCAGCTTCTGCTCCGACCTCTTCACTTTTTGCACACTGTTGCAGGTTTAATTTTAAATTGATAAAATTGCCATTTTTGTTCATCCTGTCTACACTCAGTAACCCATAATGAATGAAGTTTTTAGAAAGCTTTTATTAAAAATCAACAACTGATAACGCTAACAAAAGTTTTCTGACTCCTAATTCAGTACTTTGTAGTAGCCTGTTTGGTAGCAATTAGAGCCTTGGGAAGTCTCTGCAGGCACTGCACACCTAGATGTGGGCAGTTTATCCCATTTTTCCTGACAGATCTTCTCAAGCTCTGTCAGACTAGATGAGCCGTGTCTGTGAATCAAACTTCAGGTCTCTCCACTGATGTTCTCTAGGGTTTAAGTCTGAGTTTTGGCTGGGCCACTCTGAGATAGTCAGAATTGTCCTAAAACCACTTCATCTTTGTCTTGGCTGAAAGCTTCAGGGGATTGTCGTGCTGAATTATGAACTCACCCCAGTCTTATGTTGCGTGCACTCTGGAGTGGGTTTTCTTCAAGGACCTGTATTTGGCTACATTCAGTTTTGCCTCAGACTGTGGTATTAGCCAGATGATGAGTGTCTGGTGTTCACCAGACATGCACTGTGGCTAGTGCTTTTTATCTGATCAGTCCAAAGAATCTTTTCCCTCATGCCCTCAAACGCTGTCGGGCAAACTCCAAATAGACTGTGATCTACTCAGTAGCTTCCATCTAGTCACTCTACTATAAAGGCCTGGTTAATGGAGTGCTGCTTGGTTTTTGCCCTGACTTGCAGTGCAACTTATGGGACCATACATAGATGTACCACAGGTGGACTCCAGTCAGGTTCTAAACATGACTACAGAAAAATTAAATCAAACAGAACGCACGTGACTACAAGGGTTATTGAGTGCAGATCGCTGGGCAAAATGGCAGTTTTATCAATTTGAAATGAAATCTACAACACAATAATGTGCACAAAAAGTCACCTGGCCTGAATGTGTTCACATCATTATCCATGTTATAATTCCACAGTCCAGTGATGATGAAATATGTATTTTATATACAGTTTGGTGTTTACAGTTTTTATTTGTGTAAAAATGTTGTATTTGGAAGATCTTAATGGCTTTAATGCTTGTAGTTCAGGAGATAGAAGCACAAACAACACTGTGCTTTAAAGCCTTTTGGTATTCTCTTATCCCATTTTTTCACTAGTAATGTTATCACCTGTGTTTACGTCACATGAAAAGCACATACTTTAGTACAGTAATTTGTATATCAGGTTGTAGTTTGATAGATACTTGATACTCTTGTGCCAATGATGGTTGCCTGTCCAAGCCGGCAGAAATTAATTTAATCTGGTACCAAAACATAAACTGACTCGTGTAAAATTACAGCTTGTTTGGCTTTGTAACTCACACCAAACTTGAGTAAATATGCACTTTGCTATGATGAAAAAGCTTTATTTGAATTTACAAAAAACAGACACAGCTGATGTATTTATAGGAATAATTTATCATAGTTTAAATCAGAGCAGAAACAAATACAGATTCTGTTTGTACATGAGGGTAGTTCACTGAGAAAATGTAAATATAAATGAATGTAAAGTAAAAATAATTTAGGTGGGTTTTTTTAATAAAATTACACAAATCAATGAAATAAATATATATAATATATATATATGAGCAGAGTAATGACAAGTTGTGAAGGGTACATACTGTTTATGCTGCCTTATCTGTCCTTGCTTACAGTCACTCATAAAGCCTCAGTGTTGCCACAAGACTTGGAAAAAAAAAAGTAATGTACAAACCTGAAGCTACAGTATGTAAATTTTTCCAATATTTTGTTGTAGAAATATGTTTCAAAACTTGTCTTAATTTAGAGAGGTGCTGTCAAAGCCTCCTGTGACCCAGACTCTTTGAACAGCAGTGCAGAGATATCATCAGCTTGTACATAGTTTTGAGAGGGATTGATCTCTCTAACCAATCAGAGATGTTAATTTGTTTCTGCTTGAACAATAAGTTTTGTTGCATTCTCATTTATTATAATTTCATAATGACAAATATCTGAAGAGTTGGGCAGATCATAGTAGAGCACGGTGAGGGAGAAGGAGCACTGGGCAGAGCAGAGTGGACAGATTTGGAGCTTCATGCTAGCGCTCCCTTAAGTTACATACTGTAGCTTGAACATAGAAACTGCTGCTGACATTCATTGTATTTCGTCCATTATCTCACAACCACCATATAATCCAGACACATGCCCCATTCCTTCTGTCATGGAGCTTTTTCTGAATTTATAAACAACCTCTTCAGTCTACAATTTTGAAATTTGCTTTCTATGTGGCTTAAGTTCGATCATGTAGCTTGCAGGGCTGGCAAAGCTTGTGTATGAAAGCTTATTTACTCTTAAGTATTTTTAAATTAATAGCCTTGAATACCTTGTCAAGATGTATGAACAACCTCATGTCTGTACTGTACATAGATTTGCATTGTTATGGTTTATATAAATAATGTAAAATAATCTTAAACAGTACTGTTAAAGCTCCTGAGTATAGCAGGGTTCACTCAGTTTAACTGTTTGGGGAAAACAGAAGCCTGCTCAGGCCAGTTTTAGTAAACATCCATGGTAAATTTTATTTAAGCCTCTTTTTGCCTATAAACTTTATTCATTTCTGCATAATTCTTACTAAAATGGTTTAAACCGTTATGCTTTTATTTTGTGTAGTGTACCTTCATGTAGAAAATGCAAATTACTGTGTCTGGTAAATATTTGCTTGTGGTTCAGTCAGATGGCAATGTTTTTGAGAGTCTGAATGGACCTCTGCTGGCTAGCACTGGATGTAGGTTTAGTTCTTAATTCACCGGAGAAAGGTTTGTCTTTTACTAAGGAATGGTAAAGGTACACACACTGAGTATTATTATTATTATTAAGGTGTGGTTCTTAAAGTTTTAATCTCAGATCCAAAGTGCTAAAATTACACAGTGCCTCATTTATCAGGATTTACAGTAGTTTTGAAACTTTACCGCAAGAGGTCACTGTGATGTTTGTCAGAAAATACTTTTAGCAGTACTGTCTTATAATGGAATATGTGGGAAATTACTTAAGTAAATATGTAATATGTATCAATTCCGCTAATCTTGATTTAGGCTTAAAACCGAACTGGTGGGTGGACAGTCCAGCAGCTTTGGACTTGTTGCGGTAAGGTTTCTTGGCACTTACAAAATCATTACCATCATAATTTGAAACTGTCAACTAAATCAGATGCCATTTTTAGAAAAGTATATCAAGTATACCTTTAAATGTCCAGTTACTGATGACATGCAATCCATTTACAATCCATTTAAAAAGCTAATTTTATTTTTTGTGAATGAAATATTCTCACTACAGGAGCCTGAAAAGACTAACCGAGAGCTGAACATTTGGCTAATATTACTAGAGATCTGATCACCTCAGACCAGATGTGCTCTTGTGGTGAATGATATTGTTGTTTACAATGTTACTTGATTTCAGAGCTAATTTTCTTTTAGATAAATGATCCAGAAGTCATGCATACAACATTTGTGAATTCCTTTCCTCTTCACTAACAGTGTGAACTGGCAGTCAATGTAATATCGCAGTTTGTAAACACTTTATTCATGCGCTATACGTGTGTGTGTGTGTGTGTGTGTGTGTATTAGCTGCAGCCTGCATGTAACTCTAGTCACTGTCTCTCCAATTTGTGAATTAGACAAATAGTACATATGCAGAGAAGAACTATTCATAGGAGATAAATACTCAAGACTTAAGTTAGGAGAACAGCTTTCTCATTGTAAATGTGAATACAACTTCTTTAGAAAAAGGTCAGCATCAAGGTAATTTGACTTCAAAGAATGATTATATAATCACACCACTCCCAGGATAGTAAAAGACATAAATATAGAAAAATATGTAACATATATTTATATACTGCATATGCATATAAAACTAAGTATTAGAAAGAGAACATACGATGTATGGACAAAGAAACTGAAAATTCAAAATGAGAGTAAGAACACAGCAATGCTACTGCTTAAAAATCACAGCAGGTTTTACAGCAGCAAAGTTCCCCGTACTGTTCTTTGCAGCTATGGAACAGGGGAAGAACAGTCATGTCCTCTTAACCAAGAGAAAATCCTGACATGAGCTCTCTCTATCGACTTCACTCCAAATTAGGAATGAAACTCTGTAAGAATGACTTGATTTCAAGTGAATTTCGTATTTAAATAATCTCACAACGTACAGTGGGAGCAAGGTGTTTACTGCATTTCATTGTTATGACACCACTGTTTTTTAGAGATGGGCGTCAGGGCTTCTCTTGCAGAAGACTGTGTCAAAAGCAAAGTACATAGCTACTATTTGAGCGTTGCCAACACCGGCAGCAGCACTTATCGTGACCCAGCAGTAGGAATGATTTCTATCTGGACGGAGTTCTCAAAGTAAGTAAAAATGGAGGCAGTGGGAGCTTTATCATTTCTGTAATATACAGGAAGTGAGTTGAATTGGATTTCACTTGTAAGGGCCGCTCTATCGCTATATCCAATATGGATTACCTACCAAAGAGTGGCATACAAAGCACAGGGGCAAACCATCACCCAGTAAGTGCTGTGGCATACATATCAGAGTATACCATCCAGAGTTTCATTAACTTGACAATATACCTGGAATCATCATGCAGTTAAGCCCCGGTTACTTCAGCCCCAGTTCTAGAAATCTGTTGCTCTGAGAGTTTTTTTTTTCTTTTTTAATTGCGTCTTTACAGAATACTTATGAGGTCTAAATAATGAGACGCTCTGTGACATCAAATCTTCTTAATCCAAACAATTGTGGCTCAAAATGTTTCTTAATCATTTTCCAATTGTATATATTAATCTACCCAGTTCTCTGAAAAAGAGAGTGGATAATTTCTTGAGTCAAAAGGGCTACAAAACAATCACATGCAGCATCTTCCTAAGAGTCTCCAGTGTCTTCAGGAACACAGCTGATCGTACACACTTTTCAGCTCCACTGACAAACTTCTCTACCACAAGACACTTTTTTGTGGATGAGCTACTAAGCGAGGAAATACTGGAAATCCAAAATCTTTGACACAGACACCCTTTTTTTCTTCATTTTCTTGTTGGGCATTTGCCAGTAGGTTGACAGAAAGGCACAAATGACTGTCTTCAATAAAGGCAGCCAATATATTACTGGAGAGTTGCGTACAAATTCTGGCCTAATAGTGGATTGTAAGCTTTTTGAACACAAAAATATAACTTAAAAACTGCTAAATTAGTTTGCAATCTGAAGGTATGAATGTCTTTACTGCAGAGCACTGGCTATTTCTTGTATTCACTCCTAAATACTCTAAGCTATATGGCAAAACTTTGCATAACATAGACAGCAATTTAAATTATGCTCTATCATTAGCAAACCCCTTTGGCTAAACATAGGTCAATTATCCACAGCATAAGGCAGTGTTCTCCAAACACACCATAAAGAGTCATTCAACAAAACACTAACAGGTGATTTACTGCTTAGCACCTTCCAAAAGAAGGGAGGGACATATCAGTGAAAACATCTGGTGTATTGTTTGGCTGCCTCTTGAAGGCATGCGGTTAGAAATCACTAGTAACTGTGTCTGAAGAAGTGTACACCTGAACTCAAAGCTGGAATGATAAATTACATGTGAGATCATTTGTATACTGCAGATCACTCGTAGATCCTTTTTAAGGCAACAGCTTCAAGGTTCAATTTGCATTGAGACACTTTTAGCTTAAAAAAGGTTTTGGCAAAGGCTTTACAAATAGCTTTACTGCCACATATGCACTACTTAGATCTCCTACTTTATGCTTAATAGCATTAAATATCAGACTGTCCTAGGCCAGTACTGCCACCTTTAGGCATGTGAAACACTATTTCACACTGGAATCAAAGGAAATCCTGCTATCAGTCAGGGAGATAGGGTCACGGAGGCCCGGTACCCTGCCGGTGCTGGGGGTTGGGGAGAGGATTTGCACAGTGCACAGACAATGTAGATTGTGTAAGAGAGACAGAAGGAGTGAGACAGAGTTGTGAATGCAGCATATCCTCACATAGAGATTGCCATCCCATTCCATCCCTCAGTCCAACTACTGAGCGTCCTGTCAGTACAGGATGAGTGGGTTCAGGCTGGGTCAGAACCAGAAAGGACCAGGCAGGAGGAGGAGAGCCCAGTCCTGTCAACACTAGGAGTGAGCTGAGAATGGGGTCGGGCTGGAGTTGTTGTGGTTGGCAGACTTAACAATAGTAATGACACTGGTGGTGGCCACCTTGCCTGGTGAGAGGGGCCCGCGGGTCACAGTCCGAGCAAAACACTGTAGGGCCTCGTACTTGGCTCGAAGGGCATCCAGCTCTAACCTCATGCTGGCATTCTCGCGGGCCAGCTTGTCCACCTCCTTCTGCAGCTCTGTCTTTTGTCTCTCCAGCTCCTCCTTCTGGGTGACACGTTTGATGCGGCAGCTGGCAGCATAGCCCCGGTTCTTCAGGGTCCGACGCCGCTGCTTCAGCCGCACAACATCCTCCTTAGTCAGCCCACGCAGATGCTGGTTGAGCTCTCGCACAGACATGGCCACCAACTCATCGTCACTGAGCACTGGGGCATTCTCACCCACTTCCTTCTTGACCTGCAGGACACGAGCAGCGAATGATGAACACCACCAGCAGCATCTTATCTGGACATTTACAAAGTCTGGTAAAACAATGCTCAAACCTCTCACACTTACCTTTAAAGCTTTGCTCGTCTTAAAATGAGTCGTCATTCCCTGCATGCAGACAACTGACCAAAATCTCACAGAAGACACACTAAGAAGTGAAGAGAAGAAAAAAAGTTAACATTTTATATCATATTATGTGCTCAGATACTATAATTGTGTACAATTTAGAAATACTTGGACTTAACGTGAATATTTCCATTTTATGCTGCTACTCTTCTACTCCAGCACATTAAGGAGGGAATTGTAGCCTGCCCTATACCTTTAACATATAAAATGATTGTCTTTAAAAGATCATATATTAATGTAATGCATATGTTAAAATATGTTTCTTAGTTCCCTTTTAACCAGCTACCACATTTAAATGTTTTACATGTTGATGCATCAGTAATACTAATACAATAGGTAAATGGACTATTGCACTTTTCTACCTTATCTGGATAAACCACTACAGATTCTCACACACACACACACACAGATGGCAGTAGAACCACCGTGCTATGCACTGGCCTGGCCGCTGGGAGCAACTTGGGGTTCAGTATCTTGCCCAGGGACACTTTGTCATGTGGACTTGGGAGACCAGGAACTGAACCACCAACCCTGCGATCAGAGGTCAAGCCGCTCTACCCCTGAGCCACAGCTGCCTCCTGATCATTCTGTTGCATGTGTACATTTACTATAATGTAGAATTTTTAAACTATTATAGTGTTACTTTTATTTCAGTACCAGATCTAGAACCTTCTTGCACTACTGTATCTTATTGTACACTGCAGGTGCTGAGTATGACATAGGAGCAAACATTACATCTGTCTTGGCACTCCTCCATAAATTCACTTTAAAGACATGTTAAAGATAGGTTATATTGTGTCTATATTTGTATTTGCATGTTGAGTGCCACAGATGCCTGCAGAGGGCAGCATGACAACACCGGCACAAGACAGCGCCTATATTTACAGTACTTGCTAGAGTAGGAGGCCCTTGACAATGTAGTACACTAGACCAAGCAGGATTAGAAACAGGCAACCTCTTCATCTCTTCACAGAACTTTGCATTTAACATTTTCTGCATAGGCAGTTTTTTTGAAATGCCTCTCTGTACTTGTTAGAGTGAGGCACATGCTTTCCAGACTGCTACCAAAAAAAGCCAGAGTGCTGAGCTGTGATCCAGTGAAAGGCACACATCCCCCAGGGCTCCATTTCAGGACCTACAGCCCAGCCTGACTACAAGTGCACTGTTCCATGCTGGACTGCTACCATGGAAACACCCTGGAAATGGGCGTGGGAGTGTGAGTCACATGGTCACCAAAAGGGTAAACAAGTCTCATTCATAACCACACCACAGCCTATACATAGTACAAATAAGAAGAACTAACTTGTTCTGAAAAAGGGTATCCAAATTTCTCAATTTGTTTATAATCTGCTTATCCTTTTACTTCCCTTAAAGTCAGTTTTATGGAGATAGATTGTTCTTCTAATCTGATATCTCTGCATCTACAGAGACACAGTCTATCCACACAATTCTGCCTTCTCATCACACATTAAAACCAGCCATCACATCAGCATAACATTTATAGTTATGCTGAACTTTACAGGGCAGTAGATGCGCATGCAGAAAATTCCTGTAGAGAGTGTCAGAGAGAAATAGTTTCCTTTATAGTCACTGATGTATTTTTGCTGTGAGACAATGTAGCCTATCAATTTAGGGCTGTGTCTCGCTGGCTGGGTCCTCTTACACTGGGCTTTCCTGAGCTGCTCTATGCCCTTATTTAACTCTGGTGGATATATTTAGTCCATAGTGCTGACACAAAATTCTGCCAACTAAACAGTTTAAGTGAGCATGCGATAAGTGATACCTTGGTAAGAAGGCACATATTCTCAGAAGCCCTGCTAGCTGCAGCTTTCATGGAAGAAAACAGTTTGGGTGCGGCTGTTCTTTTTAGGATATTTATCACATTTCCACATCCATATGGCCAGTACAAATATTGCTAATACAAGACTATGCAGATGCTGAGTGAAAGGAATAGTGCAGTGAAGATGAAAAACTACTTTGGACAATGACTAATGTTTGAGTCCTGTCAAAGGCTTAAACTGAACATCACTGTCTGAGTCTATTTTGCAATTCTGTCACAAGCAACCTCGAAGGCTCTTAAGCTGGAAAACAAACAGATGAGGAATACATCTACCACCCAAGCAGCTAATACCCAGAGCGCACACACTCATGTTTAGAGATTTAGAGAACAGCTGTTACCCTCTCTGATGTACTTGACTCATTTTGTAAAACAATCTGCAAGCAACTGCATAATTGAACTGTCTAAAGCTTCAAATAAAGATGAGCTAAAATAAAACATTCCTCAACAACAAGTTGGCCAAAACTGCCTAATTTAAGCGGTATTGCATCAGAGGGGGTCCCTGGGTATATTCCTTGTGAAGATCATGGAAAAGTGGTGCGAAGCCTCCTGCCTGAAGCAAGAGGCCAGGTTGTTTCCCTGAAATTCTTTAAGTATGTGCTTATGTTTTTTCAAATCACACAGGGACAAGGCCTTTCTGATCAAGATGCCTCAGAGAAAGAAACAATCATATGACTATGGTTTTGCCACATGAACAAGACAAAATTCACAACAAATCAAGGGTTTCTCATTCTAGCACTGAAAACAACTGGTGGGGTTTTCATAGCAGTAAGAAAAGGAGTCTGGGAAAATACCTCAAAGAAAAGCCACAGCAGGCAAAGAACAAAACCACATTCCTGAGTGAACACACATGTGCAAAGCCTCACATGCACACAGGCAATTCTTTGCATGCAGTCTGAATATGTCCTACAATGCGCTGAGTTGGGGGGGGTTAATTCAGAAGTGTCTTACATCTTTCACTTGCCCAAACAAATCAAAGCCAGCCTGTGTACACATGTATGGAAGCCAGGTCTCCACCACTTTCCCTTGATAACTATTTTGTTTATGAGTCCTCCATCTTTCACTTTACTTTCTTACATTCCTCATCCACCAGATAATAATTCTTCATTCCTCAAGATAATGATCTGATGGCTAATAACCAAAGGGATGACATTAACTTTAGGCCACACATATCACAGTCATGTCTGTTTGTTAAGCCAATGTTTCATTTGATGTGGAAAGCAGAATGTTTTATGGAAAAGCTGCTGATGTATTCTCACCAGTGTCATAGAACTCGAGTCCAGCACTCAGACTTGAGTCCAAATTTTCAGGACTTGTGACTCAACTTGGACTTGAGCACTGACTGAATTCGGACTCAGACTTTTTTTTTTTATAATAAGCCATAATAATTTGGCATAAGATATTGATATTAAAGCCAGTTCACCCAAATCTTCATCAAATTTCTGAGCAATATGGTGATGCAAGAAAGTTTGGAATATAAAATGGTGAGAGCTGTGTCAACTGGGTGTAATGTAGACCTTGATGACTCAGAGTCGGGTAACGGGGACCCGACTGATTATTCTTTGGTAACTTGGACTTGACACTGGGATCTTGAGACTCAGCACAGACTCGAGGTTTAGTGACTCGACTACAAAACTGGTGTGCACATTGCTTTGAAGATGATCGGACCCTCTGAGACTATTTTGACCATTTCTAGACAATTTTTCTGAAAAAAGGGCTCAATTCTACATCTGCACAAGCAAACATGAATTAAACTTAAAAAAAAACAAATTAATAAAATACTGTATATTCTAACTTAACATTCGAGAAAAAGTCAGTTTAATAAATCTATGTACCTTTAGTTCAGAATATATGTTTTTATAGTCAGGCATCTGGTCAAGTTCAAGGCTGAACTTTCATTACAGCAGGTAATTGGACGGTCCAGCCTTTTCCTTAAATAAACAGCATGTCAAAAACCTGTATGTGCTCATGCTCCAGTAATAAATGCAGAGCTGACTGGTCTAGGCCCTTTGTTTTTCTTCTATTTTTGTTTCAGTCTGGGATGAGGTTAAGCAGAGAGGAGACTTGTTGCTAGACCTGTTGCTACCCTTGACAGTCTGATACACAGCTCTGAGAAAGCTGTTGCTTTTCTTGCATTTTTCTTAGAGAGGTGGAGAGATTTGTCTAAACACTGAGGAGTGCGGCATTCTGTACTTTCTCCAGGCAAGCACATTTGGTGGGATGTTATGTGAAGGAAATGGAGAGCATAGCTGAGCAGTGAGTCATGCTGTTTACTGGTAAAAGCGACGACCAGCGGCAGGGAATCACACCCTCCCAATCTGACATTTCCTGGAAAATCCCGTTGTTTCACTGGGAGGAAGGAAAAGTACAGAGAACCTTGGAAATGGTTGGCATGACCACCAGAACCTTCGGGCGGAAAAGGAGGAGAACGCATCAAATATCTGAGCATCCAGAGATACCGAGGTTCAAAGAAATGTCAAGAATGCAAATAAATAAAGCCATACACGTCCAACAGCTATGTGTGCATAAAAGGAGAACATTTTTGTTTCTAAAAAGCTTGTATTGCATCACATTTCTCATTTTCCAGCTAGACATACCAAAATAAGCCAAAGCCCTTTGGGTGAAAATACTGGTAATAATAAGCCAGTGCTGCCCTTTCAAAACAACTAGCTAAAGTAATGGCATAAATGACAGACAGGATGTGACACCAAAGCATACATTTGGAATATTCTAGAGCCGCAAAGTGTTTGTTTGTGTTGCAGCCAACACGCTGTTTGAGTCACGATGGAATCAGGAAGTTCCCAAGGAAAAAGATCAGCAAGTGAATCAGCAAGTCAGCTCCACTGCAAACCAACAAGGAACTCCCAATAACGCAATTCCATAAAATAAATAAGAGTCAACTTGACACTAACCACATCTCTGACCATAATGAGGTGGAAGCAGCAGGTTGAGATCCAGACATTCTGACAGGAAAGCAGGAAAAGACAGGAGGCAAATCACTGTGGGTGGCAGAGGGAGCGGTCTCAGACGCTATATAACTGTCAGGGAGTCACCTTGGACAGACACACCACAGACCTGTTCACACATTCAGCCTATACGCACTCTGTTTGGCATGTTCGGCTGTGTACAAAATCAGTGGCTTCCAAAGACAATAATCAAAACTTGACATCTTTTTTCCAGTAAGAAGAGCAAAACACACCATAGCAATCGTGTTCCCTGTGAGTCATCACATCACTAACCACAGCTATTTCACTTTCACAATACTCCACCACAAAAACATTTCGCATTCTACGGTGCTTTCATCCATCACTGCTGACCAGCAAAATGAGAGATGTGTAGACAATTAAAGTGTATTCTGTGCCTTGAGGGGAATTTCTCCTCTTGTCACGTCACACTGTGGCCTTAAAATGAGTCAGCCACTTTAACTTCTCCATCCAAAAAAGACACTTTTAACCACACTGGTGATTTAACCACATGTTAACCTCATGACAGAGGAGTGCACCCACTGCCAGTGTCTCTGAAAGCAGCAGACAAGGTGCACCCACTGAAACAACAATGAATCAGCCTCTCATGCAAAAATGTGTGACCAGCTATGGAACAAGTCACACCAACACAAATCTTTTCCATTTATTAATCAGAATGGTCTCACAAGTCCAAGATATTCGAGAAAAGACCAATTATAATGTGATAGGTGACATGAGCCAAGCAGTGTCATTTCTAAGGTTACATCATTTTTATAATTAATCTGCTGTCCTCTCAGTACACTGTTTCCTTATTTTTACCCAGGTCATAAAGATTTATGTTGGCAAAAAATGATAGCTACATAAAAAGATAAGATAAAGGCATTCCTTCCTCCCTCCAGACTAATTTATTGTTTGTGGAAATGTGCGCGCCTCCTGTAGATTTCTCCTGTGTAGGCCAGTCACCGTGCCCTTTGTCCCGCATGCCTATAATGCAGACCACGTGTTGTTACCAGTGTCAAAAGTAGTCTGGTATTTTGCATTATACTATAGCAGCCTATAATAAATTCCGCATTGAAATGAACCAGCGTGCCAGAATGAAAGAGGACGTGGAAATAATTTATGTGAATTAGTTTCAGTAGAACAGTCAGTGGTTCCTTTTCCTAAAGGAGAGAAAGTAACGCAAAATAGGATACATCTTAAAATAATCGGCAATAAACAGAAATAAATCCGCTATACCACCCTATAAAAACGTTTGGTGACATTATAACCTAATTCATTCATCTACTGCGGCGACAAAACAGTGATTTTGAAATATAAAGAGAGGAACAGCCTCACTGACATGAGCCCAGTTAAATTATCTTTTTTTTAAATGCTAAGCTGATTCAAACTGAAGAAACTGCTCATGAAAACAAAGCAGAAACGAGCTTTTATTCTAAATTATTTTGGTACTTAATTTCCCCCCCACGCCATTTTACAGTTCTGGGACACTTTTTTAGACGTTGTGATATGTTATGTTACTTTATGCAACACGTGTCCGCACGAAACAATCCGCAAAGTCAACATCACATTTCATTACCAGGATCAAACATTGATGTGCTACATGACGGGCGTGTGCGGCAACATAAGCCTGTCAGCATGCGCCAATATGTCACCATGAGAACTTAAGCATTTTAAAAAAAGGATGTCAAAAAAAGACAACCTCACCTCTGTGGACGCGGGTATTTGTGGACCGGAATGCGCAAAAAAGTGACAGAGTAGGTTCCCAGCGGAGGCAACGAGGTAACTTGACACAGTTGGTGTAAAGCGTCCAGCAGACGGGCCGCGGCGCGTCCTCGTACTAAATTAACTACAAAACAACAACAATGTACCAACATTCCACGCTCTGCTTCCGCAAGCACTCACGTCACCGATTCCTCGTGACCGCCCCCTCCATTCATGAAAATAACTTTGTGCTGACGTCAGTCTGGGAAGGGGGGCCGGGGGAAGCCATAAATAGAAGATAGTGCCGGCGACTGCTTTTGCTTACTTTACAAAATTAATCTGTACAAAGTCTGTTCATATCACCAGTAAAATACCCGAGGGAAAAAATCTAGCAAAGGTTTTAAGTTCATAAACGTGTTACGGCCTCAGTCTACTCACCCCCTCCTATAAGTAGACTCTCTTATAGTCAGATCTGCACTACAAGGTATTACAAAATGTGCATTAACCGGGAGAAAACAGCGACCTCCTCCCTCCATCTGACTTGGGAGCAGCAGCAGCAGCAGCATTCCATTCCTGAGGAAAGTATGTGGTGTAGTAGCCCGGCGGTCACAGAATTTCTCTTATTTTGACTGCTCTGCTGCCAGTAACGTCACAGGTTATTCTGGGTAATTAAGTACCAAATGTAAATATGTTAAGTCAGTAGCCGTTTAAGGACTGCAGTGGTATGGGTTTCCCTGCTCATTTCTTGAATATAAGAAGCCCTCAGCTTTGAGACCGCCTCAGACTGTGGTGCCTGTTAAAAGCAGATGCAGGGTGTTTACACACTATAGACACTGTGCACTACACCATAAAAAACAAGGCTAAAGAAAGAGGAGGAAAATGCTGGACAAAGATGAATAAGGGCGTGTTCTTTAAATTTAAAATTATTCTATGAACTATCCATACATTTCTTGCAGGAAATGTTGCCTATGCAGAGATAAATTGCTGAAATGCAAAGCTGTAGCATGTCTGGAGGTGTGTGTGTGGGCGTGGGTGGGTGGGGGGCATTTAGCTTGGATCACAAAACAATGCCCGGATGAGGTAAACATCTGGATGTGGAACCTGTGTACATGTACTGACAAAATCAGAATCTGGCCGGTTTAATTATGGACCAGAACCAAGAAAAGCAAATGTCCAGTGACGCCAAGAGTGGCCCCAGGTTGACACCATATAACTGACGACATCATTTGATTATTTGCACATTTTGTTCAAGTTTGCACCACTGAAGTACAATATCAGCATCTTGTGAGGGACCTTCTAGTTTTAAGATCTCATTTATATGTTTTCTAATTATGTTTAATTTATATTTGTTGTGCTTTTATTGTGTTTTATCAAAGTGATTTTCTTTTTTTCTGTCAAGTAATGAACACAAAAAACGTAGAGGATTATTTATAATATTATTTTTATTATCAATACACCTGACAATCATTTTCTTTAGTTCAGTCAATAAAATATGAGAATATCTGGTTTTGTCTGATCAGCTGTTAAAAACAACATGCTGAGTTTACTGTCACATAAACCTAGCACTATTCACATTTAAGAGGCTGGAATAAGTGAATTTTGGGGATTCTTGGTTAAGGGAGTTTAAACCAGTCATGACCAGACCCAGTAGTTAATGTTGACTGTGCAATTCATTACATTTTTTTGGCCAGTTTGTGTAGTTTTATGTTAAAAGATACAAACTGACAGAGATTCCTCAATGAACCAAAATGGTGTAATTACCAGATATGTCACCAAACAGCGAGATGAATCTTCTGTCAGTGACTCACTGGTTTCGTCCCTGTTTTAATTGACCATTTTAGGACAAAAGCAAATTCATCATTTTTGCTCCATGGTGATTTCTGTTTAGCGGTGCTATGTTTAGCCATCAGAGTTACAAAACAGGAAGCAGAGAGACACACAAATAAAGGCACATACATCATCATCTTTCATCTGCACTAGAGCAAGTAAAAAAAGAAAATAAACCTCATCAGATGATGTAACTTTGACCCTGAGATAAAATGTGACTAGTAGCTGACAATAAATATATGACAAATGTTGAGCTGAAATTTTAATACTGTGACTATTCTCTCTCTGCTGTGAGGAGGTTTTCTTTTACTGTTTTTCCAAAGCATTGAAATGAGAAAACTCTGTTAAATATCAACTCTTCTGAGTCATAAGGTTTGCGTCAAGCAAAACGAACTCCTGAGAATTCGTCTCTTTTATTCAGGCTTTGTGCCATATACCTCGATTGGTTTAGATTCAGGTTCCTGTCCTGCTTTACAGTTACTGTAGTGACTCAGCAGATCAACCTTTTCCCCTGAATCGCATGAGGAATCTAGTCATTTATAGATGGTGGGCCTGATTCTTTCATCTGCACTAGAGCAAGTAAAAAAAGAAAATAAACCTCATCAGATGAGTAACTAGCTTTGTGTTCTGGCACAAGAACACAGCAGTTCCTCTCTGTAGACTTCCTGTAAAGAGACAGACACAAGCATAAATCGGTGAAGCAATTTTCATTTTCATCATCTACTGTATTTTCTAGATAAAATGAAACAGCTCTCTCGAGAACGACATTCTAACTCAAGGAAATGCATCGAGGCAAATGAGATAGAATGGATTACATCAGAGTAGATATGAGATGGAATGGTATTACATTAGATTAGATTAGCAAAAAAATGAGATTACATTACATTAGAGATTAGATGGGTTGGGATTAACCTGAATAAGAAGAGATGTGAGAATAATAAATGAGATCAAATTGATTTCTTACAATGATTAGAATAGAGATGAAAATGGGATTAAAATACATTGATTAGAAATTACATTAGATTAGATTAAATTATAGATGAGATGAGACAACAAACAACATGTGGATTAGATGAGATTACTGTAGATTAAAAGTGAGATGTGGTGAGATTAGATTACATTGCATAAAATTAAAACAAAATTAAGGTAGATTAAATGAGACAAGATGGTAGAGATAAAACAAGATAAACCATGCAGAAAAAACAGCATTAGAAAAAAAGGGTAAACCAACTAAAAATTCAAGCATGTGCTATATTATGTGTTTGCTGTTTCTTTGCAGCTAGTGAGACAGTCTATCTAGGACAGCCAGTGATATTTTAGACCTGTCAGGCATCCAGCTGCTCAGTCAGTGCCATACCACCCAATTACTACCCATCTGGCCAAAGTGTACGTCGATGACCTGAAATACACCCTGTCCAGCAGCACAACAACAGCAGACCATGTGCAGCAGCTTGATCTGACTTTGTGTCGGAGCAGCGTGCTGTGGGGTCTACATTGTCACCGGCCGTTTTAGATAATCAAGGAAGTAACACTGAGTCACTAATCTTGTTCCTTTCTGACTCAGAAATCTGATCTGGCACAGAGGGGCGGGGGGCAAGGGGGGTGGGGGGGTTCCTTCCAAATGCTCCAAATTATTAGTGAGTAAAACAGCTCCAAAGTTTTTTAACTGAAGTAACAGCATGAACAGTGAGGCACAAGCACACACAGGATAAAAACATTAAATTGTACCTCACATTTTCTGTCTTTAAGTGTTTTCACGTGGTTCAGGAATAGCTAACTGAGAATGCCTGACTCATTAGAACGTGGCCTCTGGCACAGTCAGGGCTGAATGTGATTTTAAAGTAAAAGGACTGTTTTTGCAGTTTTGCAGACTTCCCATGTAACCCAAGATTTAATCTGGAACATAGAATGAACATTCCAGTGACTTCACCAAAATGTGTTTCATATGAAAACACTTTATGTAACCAGCTGGCAGGTCAGAGCTGCATGGAAACGGACATGAAGTTACAGTAGTAGTGGCGGCGGCAAACTGTTTAAGGCCTGATATTCACAAGTGATCTGTAAGATTTTCTTAAAGCATCACCATACTGATGCCTTTTTGATTGCCAGAATAAAAGGTGGGGATTTTGAGGACAGCAAGCAAATATAGTGCAGCCTGCTATACACAGTGGTTGAGAGTTACCCATTTCTATACTTGATGGTCTTGTCAGAGCTGAGTAATGTTCAAAGAATGAACAAATCACTGCTGCTGACCATGGGCGGGACTAAATATGGACATCATTAAGGGTGGTAAAGCTTTGAGAGCCTAAATTTGTTTTCCTCAAGGCATGAGGAGTTAAAAAAAAAACAGTTGTCAGGATGAAACATTGCATATATTTATTTCTCAGAAAACATTGCATTTGCATTGCTTTAATGTGTGACCCACCATTTTACAGTTTCCTTGATGACCTAAGGCTGAGAAAAATCTGTATCTTGCTCCCTTCAAGATTTAGTCTGGTGGTTTTCTCTGTGTTGATGAATAACATTTAAATCTTCTGTGTTATTTGTACTGAACTGCCCAGACTTATGATAAAGTCGCTCTTGTTTTTGTTTTTTGTTTTTTTTGTTAGTTTGGAGCTGTTCCCTTTCAGGTTTGTGGTGATAAAGTCACCACTAAATGCTACACTTTTATCATTGCTGGTTATTCTTTTTCGATTTATAGTAAGTCTTGGTTTGCTGGGAATTCATTCAGGTATATTTCAAATTCTATTCTGATAAATGAACCAATAATGATAATTTAGTGCAGTAAAATGGAGACTGCTGCCACCATGTGTTAAATCACTGGGATTTGAAAGAAGTAGGCAAAAATAAAGGCAGTCTACTTTATTTTTCCAGAGAAGAAAGTCATTTCTGGCAGTGACACAACTGAACATATGGAGACACTCTGTTATAAACAACACATGCTGCTGTTTCCATAAATACCAAGTCATTCTTTTGAGGAATGATTATTGATTATCAGAATCAGACTACTCGATGACGGTTACACCTGTTAATTCAACCTAAAACTGCCAAAACAGTTGTTACAAATGCAAGAAACACTGTGACTGTGAAAATAACAAAACAAACAAACAAAGGTTAGGCTAAATTAGTGTCATCATTTTCTCATTTCTCTCAGCTACAGCTTTGGACTGGTCTGAACCTGTAGAAATAAATGGTGATGATTATTAGATGGGAAAATATCTGCTGACACTGACACAAGTGGTGGGAAAACTAAGCTTTCCCAAGCACTGACTGAACCACATTAAAGCAGCTGTGCTTACAAGGCTTCATTGTTTTGAAGCATTTAATACAGCCAATATCATGATCACCAGTTCTTGGTAGAACTATTGCATTTGTGCACATGCAAAACCTCATGAAGAAACTGTAAATCAAAATATACGTACACTCACTGTTGTGATGTGTGTTTTCTTCAATAAGGTGACATTTTGGGCTAAGGTAATTCTTTTAAACAGGGCAAGTCATCTTGGAAAATTTTGATGTTGTAATTGCAATTTAACTGTATACTTCTTTATAGTTTTATTTTGAATCTCTTCTCCAAAGGTCTGTGTTTGCCTTTACTTTAAGCTAAATCATCATGTGTTGTGTTGAACATTTTATTAGGAGACTGCAAGATAAAGATGCTTTTTTTATTATCTTTGGAGACAAGAACTATTTGTTACAAGTATATATTGTGTTGTAATAGTAGTATGTATTATAGTAGTCCTACGTTTGTTGAAAATGGGATATAAAATTAATGCACTTGTTTACATTGTATTAAATATTATTTTTAGTACAGATTGTATCCCTGGTAAGATCAGGTTTTTGTGCATTTGTAAGCAAATGAATAAAAAGTACGAGTATTCAGTGCCCTCCAGCGGTCACAGTGCGTAACTGCACCTCTGTTTGTTTTAAAAGTTTTACTTTGAAAGTGTTGACCGAAAATGTTGCTATATTATTGCGTTTAACTTGATAATGCAGTTGTATCTTACCCACACTGGCCACCAGAGGACATATACATCAGTTAACTATTATCGCACTACATACTACGGACTACAACCATTATCGGACTACATAAATAAACTACACGTTTATTTATCAAGTTAGCATAGCATAGGGCTATGTGGGGTAAATTTGTAAAGTAATCCGCTTGTGACCACTCATTTTAAACTTTCATTAGGTCATGCCTATGAAATGATCACGGTGTCTGCTCAAGTGTGGAAATGTTGATTAACTACAAAGGCACTCCTATGGCGTAAAGTTAGAACAATGGCATAGTAATACGTCCTGTTAATAATTTAAAGTAAAACTATGTCAGTTATGCAGTGCATCTGGTAGCCTCTGTAGCCTGCTTCCGGTGTGATCTTAACCGACCATTCCATGGCCTGGCACCAGATGGCGGCATGCACATTATTATGAACATCTTCAATGCAGCGAAGGAGAAGTCATTATGCTCAGTCTGACTATTAGCTTTGAGTCGGATAATGTTACACGTTGTTCAGCGGTCAGGTTGACAACGACTCGTTTTATAAGTATGATTAAAAAGGTGAGTCACATTTAAGTTCATTCATATACTGACAAGTTAACACTAAGTATCTGTCAGCACTTGACACTATTAGGCTAGTTAACAATGCTAACAGTGTTAGCCTAGCAGTGATGTCCATTAGCTAGCTAGCTAACTAACTAACGTTAACGATATATTGTAAATAACCTCATGATTTGCAGACTGTCGACAAGGGATGAAGACAGCCTTTTGCTCCATTCTGTGTGTAAAGCTAACTAATGTTATTGGCCTTAGTAGGTGATGCGATTTATTGACCGTAACTAGCCGTGTTGACGCTAGCTAGTTGGCTGTTACCGTAGCTACTAAAATACATTTTAACGTTACGTTTACCTTTCGTGTATTTTTTGTCTGTGCTTTTTTTCCCCATACACAGACTACTGCTACTAGGCAATGCCACCTGTTCACACTTCTTTGAATTTGGTTGTTACTTGTGCGCGTTAGTCAAGATGAACCGTCCAAAGCCAACAGCTCTGAGGCGTCCCAGTACTGCAAAACCATCAGGTATGCTTGCCAACCCAAACCTTGTTATGTTGGTGGTGTATCGTCATGATAGAAGCTAAGCAGAGCAAACTGGTGTCCCCTGTTCCCAGGTCACCCTCCACCGGGAGATTTCATCGCTCTCGGGTCAAAGAGCCAGGCAGGAGAGCCCAAAGCCCCCGCAGTCCTCCTGAAGCCAGCATCCACAGGTTTACCTGCGGACCGTAAGCGAGAGCCTACCTCCACTCTGCCCTCCTCATCGGGTCTGTCCAGTCTCGCCAAGCGGCCCAAGCTGTCCACCACTCCTCCAGTCAGTGCCCTAGGACGACTCGCTGATGTTGCAGCTGTGGACAAGAGAGCAATATCACCCTCAATTAAGGAACCGTCAGTGGTACCTATTGAAGGTAAATCACTGTCTTTGAGCCTGTTTATTTAGAAACAGAATTTATGTTGTACAGTCCAAACATACTTTAAATCTTAGGGCATTACACTTTAACATATTACATGTTATTTTCTTTCAAGTTGATTTATTGACACACCTTGTGTTTTAGTGTCACCAGTAGTGCTGCTGGATGAGATTGAGGCTGCAGAGTCAGAAGGAAATGATGATCGCATTGAAGGACTGCTGTGTGGAGCAGTGAAGCAACTTAGGATGAACCGAGCTAAGCCTGACATCACATTGTACCTCAGTCTCATGTTCCTGGCCAAAATCAAACCCAATGTTTTTGCCACTGAGGGTATTATTGAGGTAAGTAAGAAAAGCTAAATAAGAAAATCACCTTTCTGTATAATACAGTACAGTTGAACAGCAGCACAAACAGCCTCAAAAATTATCATCTGTTTATAATACTTTGCACCTATCTTGCTCTTGTCACTAGGCCTTATGCAGCCTCCTGCGTCGCGATGCTTCAATAAACTTTAAAGCAAAGGGAAACAGCCTGGTGTCAGTTCTTGCTTGTAATCTGCTGATGGCAGCCTATGAGGAGGATGAGAACTGGCCAGAGATCTTTGTCAAAGTGAGAATCTCCTAATGACTCAACATTTCATGCTGTCATTTGTGCTGTTTAGTTTTATACATATATGAACTTTTTTGCAGTTTGTTGACCTAAAGTGTGTTTTCAGGTGTATATTGAGGACTCGCTGGGTGAAAGAATCTGGGTGGACAGTTCTCACTGCAAGAATTTTGTTGACAATATTCAGACTGCTTTTGGCACAAAGATGCCCCCAAAGAGTATGCTGCTGCAGGCTGACACAGGCCGCTCTGGTGGAGATCTCAGCGCAGGTATGGTACCATCAAAAGACACACTGGCTTGTTGGGAGTTGGGATTACCAATGCAGGAAACAAGTGCTGATTTGTTTTGCTGGGTTTGGGTCTTCTAGGTAGCAGCCCTCATCCCTCAACCCCAGATGAGGATGACAGTCAGACTGAATTGCTGATAGCAGAGGAGAAACTGAGCCCAGAGGATGAGGGCCAGGTTATGCCAAGGTATAAAAACTACCTGTATTGATGTGGGGGTTGCTACAGTGTACAGTCCCATAGACACCACTTGAAATAGTCTTGATTGTGTTTTAAGTTTTATAATTTACAGATCAGTTTTAAAATTGTTATTCTTGATACTAAGATTTTTATATTGTATTCAATCACAAGTTGATTAGCTGCAAAAAAATGTACAGTTTTGTATTGTTTTGTCATTTGTGTCACTGGTTGTAGGTATGATGAACTGGCGGAGAGTGTGGAGGACTATGTGCTCGATGTCCTCAGGGATCAGTTGAACCGCAGGCAGCCAATGGACAATGTGTCCCGAAACCTGCTGCGTCTGCTCACAGCCACGTGTGGCTACAAAGAGGCACGACTCATGGCTGTGCAGAGGCTGGAGATGTGGCTCCAGAACCCAAAGGTGAGAGGTGTAACACTGACCCTGTGTCAGCAGCTTGATAAGTATCATACTGGCCATACTGGGATGAGAATCGTGATACAAAACTATATCATAATGTTACCTGCAGTAATAACGTATTATAATATAGATAGTTTTGCAGTGACAATGAGCTGTAATGTCACAAAGTGTGTGTAACTGGAAAAGAACACATGCCCCCAAAATAGCAAAATGTCAGTATCACAAGACAGCGTGTTACTATATTGACATCAGTGTATCGATTTCAAAAATATCAGAGAACTCATCTTAAGATAACTGAGTATTTTTGTGTTTGTGTTTATGCAGTTGACTCGACCAGCTCAAGACCTCCTCATGTCCTTGTGTATGAACTGCAACACACATGGAGCAGATGACATGGAAGTGATCTCCAACCTGATCAAGATCCGGCTCAAACCCAAAGTTCTTCTCAACCATTACATGCTGTGTGTCAGGTCAGTGGAGTGTTTTTGTCTTTGTGCATTATTAACAGTAGTACAGGTCTTTGTTCCATCTTACTGCACTTGGTGACTTGCACTAACTGGTGTTTTGGGTGTGCTTCTCCAGGGAACTTCTCAATGCGCACAGAGACAACTTGGGCACTGTGGTGAAGCTGGTGATTTTTAATGAGCTGTCAAATGCCAGGAATCCCAACAACATGCAAGTCCTTCACACTGTGCTACAGCATAGCCCAGAGCAGGCTCCAAAGGTGAAACTCGAGACATTTGTATTTTTTAAAGAGAAATCATGTTACTCTTTGAAAATGCCATCAGCGTTTGATTTTATTTTTCTGGCCTTTCAATTTTGTGTTAAAATTCTGTGGTTTTCTTAAAATCATCATTTGTCTCTCTTTGTCTGTAGTTCTTGGCGATGGTGTTCCAGGACCTGCTCACCAATAAGGATGATTACCTCCGAGCCTCCCGAGCTTTGCTGAGAGAGATCATCAAACAGACCAAGCATGAGATTAACTTCCAGTCCTTCTGCTTTGGTTTAATGCAGGAGAGAAAGGAGAGCAGCTACGTGGACATGGAGTTCAAAGTGAGTGGGTATGAAAAATGCTGCCATAACAGCTGTACTCCTGGTGTATTTACACCTGTTTCCTTGTTTCTCCCATAGGAGCGTTTTGTTATCCAGGTGACAGATTTACTCACTGTCTCCATGATGTTGGGCATCACTGCACAGGTCAAAGAAGCTGGCATTGCCTGGGACAAAGGAGAGAAGAAAAGTGTGTGTTTGTTCTAATAGTGCATTATTAACAGTAGTACAGGTCATTGGTTTTGCCTTAAACTTGTGTCTGGTTTGTTTCAGATCTAGAGGTCTTAAGGTCATTTCAGAATCAGATAGCCGCCATCCAGAGAGATGCCGTGTGGTGGCTTCACACTGTGGTTCCCACCATCAGCAAAGTTGGTGCAAAAGATTACGTCCACTGGTCAGTAACTGTGTGTCTGTTATCTTTATCAAAATATAAAAGGTAGGTAACTGCTTTAGGCATGAATTATCTCATCTCATTCTCATGTCCACAGCCTTCACAAAGTGCTCTTCACAGAGCAACCAGAGACATATTACAAGTGGGATAACTGGCCTCCTGAGAGTGACAGAAAGTATGTTTTCCTCCAGTATTAAGAAATTCAATGTTTTTTTGTTTTTTTTTTTTTACTAACTGATTTGCCAAGCTAATCTTCTCTTTCCTCAGTTTCTTCCTTCGCCTCTGCTCCGAGGTGCCTTTGTTGGAGGACACACTGATGCGCATTCTGGTGATTGGGCTGTCACGTGATTTGCCGCTGGGCCCAGCTGATGCCATGGAGCTTGCAGATCACCTGGTTAAGAGGGCTGCTGGAGTTCAGTCTGATGGTGTGTGAAGATCCATTTCAGCTGTAGCAGTTTATGGTCACAGTTAAGGCTATGTGTATTCAACTCGGGCACGGTATTTGAACATCTGGTAAACACATGCTTCAGATAAATGAGCAGCTGTAATAAGTGTTCAAAGGGGCATCCCCTTATTCACGTTGTCCTCACAAGTCAGCAAAATAATATTAGGAAAGTATGAGCTAAATTAATGTGCTTTTCATTGTAATAGTTTCAAGAGTTCTTGCCAGGATTCATGGCAATTTGAAGCTGCAGAGCTGACTGAGTGTTTCTTGTTAAACAGATCTGGAGGTACTGAGAGTGGAGAGGATCCAGCTCATTGATGCAGTGCTGAATCTGTGTACATACCACCACCCAGAGAACATTCAGCTGCCAGCAGGGTACATCAAATGTCTTTTAGAAACACATACCGGTTGTACAGTTTACAGTCTAAAATAACAAATGACTCTTCATGTTGAAGGTACCAACCACCAAATTTGGCAATATCCACACTCTACTGGAAAGCTTGGCTCCTGTTGCTTGTGGTAGCTGCATTTAATCCCCAGAGAATTGGTATAGTCAAATAGCTGTTTTATATATAAAAGTAGTTGTGAAATATATTCTAAGTTGTTAAAAATGTTTTTTGAAATATAATATCTGTAATGTTTTTTTAGGTTTGTCTGCATGGGATGGCTATCCTACACTGAAAATGCTCATGGAGATGGTTATGACAAAGTAGGTATATGTTATCATTTCGAATGAAATGGCTTCACGATAATAATGCCGAGTAAGAATAATGAATAAAGATACATAATTTAAATAATAAATTATTAAATTAATGATTTAAATAATAAAGAAAGAAAGAGTAATAATGCTGAACAACTAACACACTCCGCTCTGTGCTTCCGTAGTAACTATAGCTACCCTCCTTGCACCATTGTGGACGAGGACACAAAGACGGAGATGATCAGCAGAGAGCTGCAGATCTCTCAGAGAGAGAAACAAGAGATCCTGGCTTTTGAGAGCCATTTGGCAGCAGCTTCCACCAAACAGACCATCACAGAGAGCAACAGTTTGCTGCTGTCTCAGCTTACAAGTCTGGACCCACAGTAAGACACCTAGAGAAATTATTCTATAGGATGTCCATGAATTAACAGGAATCCAACCTGGTGGATTGATTTGTGCTCAGAAATCATGTCCTCTATCGCTAATGAGTTTGGCTATGACAGAGCTTAAACAATATGCATTTTTCCCATTACAGTTATATCAGATCTATATTTTTGTTGTTGTTTTTGTCTGTCTTATTTTGAGACTCCTTCTCTAAGAGATTTAGACAGCTTCGTTGCCGTAAAGCACGTTATAGGAAATCTTTCCTGCCTTACTCCATTAATTTGTACAACACATCATCTTGGAGCATTAGACGATTCCTGGATTGAGAGTAATTGTTTACTGAATCAGCTTTGTATATATTTGCATATGTTTCATTCATCATGTGATTATGTATATGTACTTGATTGTGTTGGGTTTGTTTTTAACTTTTTAACGTATTTTATATTTTGTTTTATATTTTTAGTGAGTTATCTATTCTATTGTGTGCTTGATATTGTTGATATTGAATGTGAACCGCTGCTGAAACAATGCAGTTTCCCAGATTGGGATTAATAAAGTATTTCTATCTATCTATCTATCTATCTATCTACTATGTCAGCTGACACAGACAGTCCTACTTTTTATATAACAGATAGTTCAATTGAACTTTTATCACTTGAACATAATTGACAAAGATTTCCTGTTTTGTTCTTTACCAGCTCTTGAGTTTTTAAAATCATGATAAAAGTGTTCTTACAGTTTTGTGATTGGAAGGTGGACTCATTGTTTCTGTTTGTGCTCAGGGGTCCTCCTCGTCGACCTCCCCCACAGGTCCAGGAACAGATAAAGAGCCTCAACCAGTCTCTGCGTCTGGGACATCTCCTCTGCCGCAGCCGCAACCCAGACTTTCTTCTCAACATTATACAGAGACAAGTAATGCCACATCCATGCTTTTCCATCAAAACCTAACTCTCAAACTCATGGAAAGAGCAGGGGCATATGCTCCTTGTCTCATATAAAGTGAAATAAATGACAGAGTGATGTTTTTGGCTAAATATTGACCAAGGACAAGTGAACTGAGCCTAAAACCATGTGGCCTGGCTCTTATATAACACTTTATAATGTCACTGTTGGTCCTGTGACTGTAGTACCTTTTCAATTCTTTCACAGGCTTCCTCTCAGTCCATGCCATGGTTGGCTGATTTGGTTCAGTCTAGTGAGGGGTCCTTGGATGTGCTTCCAGTGCAGTGCCTGTGTGAATTCCTTCTGCATGATGCTGCAGATGACACTCTTCCAGTAGATGATGATGAGGAAGGGGAAAGCAAAGAACAGAAGGCCAAGAGGAGACAAGTATGTTTATCATACAACATCTTACCTTACTGTTGAAAGTTGACAGTTCTTGAAATGGTCGTTGTTTCGATTTTTTTTTTTCTCTCTCAAATTTCTTCAAATTCACATGCAGCATGTTAAATTGTGCTTATCTGTGCTTATTTACAGCTGGGTTTAAAATAGGACCAACTGACTCTTGACTAAACCTGAATTCTAATTTCCTGTTAGAGACAACAAAAGCAAAGGCAGCTACTTGGACGACTCCAGGATCTTTTGTTAGGTCCTAAGGCTGATGAACAGACGACATGTGAAGTGCTGGATTACTTCCTGCGTCGTCTCAGCTCTTCTCAGGTGGCATCAAGAGTCCTAGCCATGAAGGTAACGTCCTGGAAGCAGAAAAGATCTCTAGCAGCAGTGTGTTACAGGTCAAAAATGATTTCACATACATTATTTACTGGATTTTGTGTCCAGGGTTTGTCACTGGTACTGAGTGAAGGAGGCTTAAAAGATGGAGAGGAGAGGGATCAGCCCATGGAGGAAGACTCAGCTGATGCTGAGCTGTTGCCGGGGTACCAGTGGTTGCTACAAGACCTCCCAAAGCTCCCCTTGTTTGACAGTGTCAGAAGCATGACATCCACGGCTCTGCAGCAGGTCAGTGTCCAACTCAGCAGTGAATTATCCATAACTGGCATTAAATGTAAACAATTTCAGAGGATTTTTGATTAAGACTTTGTTTGTAAAGCATGTCTTTTTGTTTCTTCTCCCCTGAAGGCCATTCACATGGAGACCGATCCACAGACGATCAGTGCCTATCTCATCTACCTGTCCCAGCATGCACCAGTGGAGGAGCAGGCTTCTCATAATGACCTGGCTCTGGTAATCACACATTAAATTCCAGCATCACGTCTTCCTTTAAAAGGTTTTGTTTTCAAGGAGCAGTGCTGACATGAAATCTTCTCTTCCCCTCACTCTCTGTAGGACGTTGCCCGACTGATTGTCGAACGTTCCACCATCATGAACAACCTGTTCTCCAAACACTCCTGCAGGCCTCAGTCTGATGCTGTGCTTTCTGCTTTCCTCACCATTTTCTCTACCTACATCAAGAGGATGAGGAAGACCAAGGAGGGCGAGGATCTTTATAGCTGGGTAAGCACTACTAACTAACAATACGGGAAACTTTTTCTCGGCCCTCTCCCCGGCTCTTATTAATTTAAACATAAAAAATAAGCTTCAGGTTACACAGACCCCTAGAATCTTATTTCAGTCAAAAATAAGTGCAACATTTTGGGCCTAGTGAAATATTTGGTGATCACATGAACTGTAAGAAAAAATTACAACAGAAATCAGTAAGCAGGTTTTAAAAAACACATTTTGAGTCTGCAATGGAAATTTAATTGTAACTGAGGATTGATCCTTTTTTTTAATTTGTAGGCATTTACTTTGGAATTATAATGTAAAGGGTGCATTCACATTATAATTAATGCTTGACAAATGACATGTTTACCCAGTCAGAATCTCAGGACCAGGTGTTTCTGCGTTGGACTACAGGAGAGACTGCTACAATGCACATTCTTGTTGTCCATGCCATGGTTATTCTGCTCACTCTGGGGCCACCTAAAGGTAGTACTGTACGTTTTACAGTGCAATGTTTTGCACTGTTAAAGAGGCTGCAAGAAAAGGTTTACTTCATTGTATATCCTGTACAATATTTGCAGGGGAGAGTGATTTCTACTCTCTCTTGGACATTTGGTTTCCCGACAAGAAACCTCTACCCACTGCCTTCCTGGTTGACACCTCAGAGGAGGCCCTTCTGCTGCCTGATTGGTTAAAACTGAGGATGATCCGGTCAGAAGTGTCTCGATTGGTTGATGCAGGTACAACTTTGCCTAGTAAACAAAAATGAGGGTTGCTCACCAAGTAAATAAAGGTTAATTTTTAACTGAACAATGCACATGTTCCTCTCAGCTTTGCAAGACCTGGAGCCTCAGCAGCTGCTGTTGTTTGTTCAGTCTTTTGGGATCCCAGTGTCCAGCATGAGTAAACTGCTGCAGTACCTGGATCAGGCTGTCTCCCATGATCCACAATCACTTGAGCAGAACATCATGGACAAACGTAAGAGTGCACTACATATTCTACTCTTGAAACATTTTATGATTTTGAGAGCTATAGACTTAAAATGTTTTCATCTTATCTCATCTTGTATTGATCCTGCATTAGACTACATGGCTCATCTGGTGGAGGTGCAGCATGAGCGCGGTGCCACTGGAGGGCACACTTTCCATGGGTTACTGAGCTCCTCTCTCCCTCCATGCAGAGGTCAGTGTTTTTTAATCCATCAAATGGCATGTGCACTTTCAGCTTTTGCTATGCAACATTATGCATTTAGATTGCTCACATGCTCAACACTATTAACCTTTCTTTGTATTAACACAATCTTTGAGGGCATAAATGTCAAGTAGCAGACAATGGCATCAATGTATATAATTTCGCTTTCCCTGACTACATCCCTCCTGACAGATTCTGCTGAAACAAGTAAGGCCAGAGTTGCTGTAGATTCATCCCATAGCTCTGTGAAGATGAGAGCAGCCAGTCAGCTTCCTGCAGTCCGACCTGATGATGATGATGATGATATTGCTCCTGCATTAGAATTTATTGGCCAACTGGCGGAGTTGCAGCATGAGCGGGCTGCCACTGGAGGGCGCACTTTCCATGGGTTACTGAGCTCCTCTCTCTCTCCATGCAGAGGTCAGTGTCTTTTATCCATCAAATGGCATGTGCACTTTCAGCTTTTGCTATGTAACATTTTGCACTTAGATTTCTCACATGTTCAACAATATTAACCTTTCTTTATATTAACACATAATCTTTGAGGGAATAAATGTCAAGTAGCAGACAATAACATCAATCTATATAATTTCTCCATGCCCTGGCTACATTCCTTCTGACAGATTCTGCTGAAACAAGTAAGGCCAGAGTTGCTGTAGATTCATCCCATAGCTCTGTGAAGATGAGAGCAGCCAGTCAGCTTCCTGCAGTCGAACCTGACGATGATCTAACTGGGAGATTGCTCCAGGTAAGATTTAGTAGTTTTTCATTTCTTTGCAACATGATTTTTTTTTTTTTTTTACATTTTGGATGACAGGATCCAACACAATCTCCAAGCAAAGGTTCTTCCCTCATGAGCCACATCTGTATCAGACTGACCTGTTTCTTTTTCCTTTTCTTCCACAGATATTCCCCTTAAAGGTGGACCCTCGCTGGCATGGACCCTCTCCCACCCAGCTCTCCCTGGCCCTGCAGCAGGCCCTGGCTAAAGAGCTGATGCAAGCTAAGCAAGGCCAAATTCAGAAGGGTGGACTAGCATTTCGACTCCTCAAGGCCATTGCTGCCCTGCTCAGCTCTGCCCATGCAAGACCTATTGTCATGTCAATGCACCGCAGCCATGCCCTCTCCTGTCCTCTCATGCGGCAACTTCATCTCTACCAGGTAAGACTTGGTGAAAATAAGGGTATAAATCTGGCATTCATGAGGCATTTAATTAGAATGTTTTTTTCTCTTTTCTCCCATTTAATACCTTTTTCCGCCCAGCGTCTCGTGTCCCAGGACATTTCTTTCTCATCACTGTTTCTCAAAGTTATTGTTGAGATGTTAATCTGGTTAGACAACCCAGCTGTGGAGGCAGGACCACTGAAGACTTTGCTTAAATCCTTTGCTGGTCAGAACTCTCACAAACACAGGCACAATGATGGTAAGCAGCTCAGCTATTTATCTTTTCAAGTGTTGGTTAATTCATTTTTTTAGAAGGAGTAAGTGATAAGTGTCTCTGTCCCACAGTGCGTACAGGTTTCCTCCACCTGGCTGAGGCCCTGGCATATCGCACAGATACTGAGGTGCCACTGAGAGCCATCTTTGCTATGCTGAAAGCTGGAGAAAGATGTAATGCAGAGGCTGAGCTCATAGGAAAAGGTATTAAAGGGGTCATTGTGTGGATTTGAATGTGGAGTGGATTCGTTTGAACTGAGCAGTGCTGGTACTGATACTGGAATTTCTAACTTTGATACAATACCCCTGCTACTCATTGTTGCATCTGATGTTTGTCTCCACAATCTCTGTAGAGATTACGCTCTACTCTGTTTTGTCCTGTCACTTGTCTTTTGTAAACCATCCACATTATCAGTGTGTTGTTGGGCAAAATGCAAACACTCATCAGAACAAATTCTGTGCACCGAAACACATGTTGTGTGTGGCGCATGGTCAGTATGTGTTAGCACTCTTGTGTAGCATCGCTAAACAGCAGTGCTGTTTTCTGCTGTTTGTCAATCAGAGTTGGTTGCAGAGGTTCTGCAGTTGTCATGCGTAATGAGCAACCACTGTAGCAAAACCCTCAACATACCACAGTCTATTAGCTTAAAATTCAACAGGAGCAAATGAGACAAGCGACGAGGCAGACAGCACTGTGAGTGAATGAGAGGAGGTGAGTCTGTGGGCACTGCAGCGGTGTGTGTGTGTGTGTGTGTGTGTGTGTGTGTGTGTGTGTGTGTGTGTGTGTGTCTGTCTGCGTAAATTTGCTGTCGGAGAGAAGAAAGCGAGAAAGTACAGCTGGTGTTCATGTATCGGTACTGTGGAAATGAGTATTGAAACTCTTCCACACTTTCAGAATCGATGTATTGAAAAATAAATATTTGTGACAACACTAGAGTATCAGATTTAGTGTTCCATAGATTAGCCAATAAAAAAGCTGACAGAGAAAGTTAATTTGTCACTTATGTAAGAACTGGTTAGTTGCTTTAGTCACTTAGCAAATGCAAATAAATATTTTACACAGTTGCAAGGGACTTTGTAGCAGTATAGTGGTCTCTTAGCTTAGATACATGAATTATGGTGAACAAGAACTTTTGTATAGTATTAGTTTTTAGTACAGCAAATGTAAGGAGTATAATAAAATGTACTGGTCCCCACATGGAGCAGAAGCTGCTGTAACATTTCATATGTGGTTTTGTTACATAATAATGTCAGTCCAAAGCCTATTACTAAGCTTGCTGCTGTTATTATGTCTCAGCGTTACAGGGGCTGATGGAGGTAAGGTCGCCTTATTTGGAGGAGCTACTATCTTTGTTAATGACTGTGGGCACACAGAATGGGACAGCTGGCCCTGTTGCCATGGTGATTTCCTTGCTGCTCCAGGAAGGTGACGAGCGAGCTGTGAAAAAAGAAGTGGATTCTAACAAGTGAGCACCACAATTCCATTTCCCTCTTAAATCATGCAAGAAACCTTCATATTTGACAGGAATAAACAACAAACATGACTGGCTGTGATGAAAATGGCAAGCCAGCACTTGCTGTCTGTGACCTTAGATTTGTAAACTGCTATTGGATTTGGTTCAGGAAGGTTTAATAGCTTTGTAGTTAAGTTTTGTAGCTTTACATTGGCTTAATAGATTTGCAGGATATAGAAAATCTCAGAATAGTTTGCAGAATCTTTTTTTTATGCTGGGGTCAAGCAACACTGAGGCAGGTACATCCTGAAAGGTTGCTCACTGTCACATGCGAGGTCTGGTTCAAAGAGTAAAGAGGACTGAGCGATAGCTCTCCTTTGTGCTCCATGTTGTCTGTGCATTGTTGTTGTTTCTAGTAGGGTAGACTGCTGTAATGAACTACTAATTGGCCTCCCCAGTAAGACCATCAGACAATTGCAACTCATTCAAAACGCTGCTGCTAGAATACTAACAAATAGCAAGAGGAGGGAACACAATACTCCAGTCCTTAGCTCCTTGCACTGGCTTCTAGTTAAATACAGAATTCAATTTAAGGCCTTATGTATTGTCTACAGGTCTCACAGTGATCTGGACCCAAAATATAGCAGAGATATGTTTGCCTAGTACAAACCTGGTAGGTTTCTCGAATCTGCAGGGACTGATCAGCTAGTGAGCCCCATTTAATATCATGCAATTCTGAAGGGCTAACAGCAAAATGAAAAGCAGCTGAGACAAGTTTCAAGAGGCTTGTCATAAATATCTTTTTATACCTCCTGAATTTTTGGATCTGCTTGGTTGGTGTGCATGAAACAACATTGTTTATGAACATAATGTCTGGAGCTCTATTGTATTGTGGGTGTATGGTACTTTATTTTTCTCTGAGGTCTTGATGAAGGCTGTTGGAATTCAATAGAAATTCAGTCACATATCCATACAAGTAACCCTTCACTTTGACCTTTGCCAGCAGCTCTGAAGTGACAAAGTCAGGACTGAGCTCTGGGCTCCTGGTTGACTGGCTGGAGCATCTTGACCCTGAGGTCACTTCAGTGTGTCCAGACCTTCAACAGAAACTGCTGTTTGCCCTCAACAAGGTAGGGATATGCATTGCCTTCAGGTAGTATTACCTCTTGTCTCATCACATGGGAGTATATGTTTGCCTGGCATTACCGATAATCCTTTCTTACTGTTTCTCTATTTCAGGCACGAGGCACCCCTGCCTATAGACCCTACCTTTTGGCCTTGCTGACACACCAGTCAAACTGGGCCACTCTCCTGCAGTGTATCAGTATTCTTCTTAGCGAGCGAAGAGACTACAAGTACATCTTTGTTTTTTGTTAAACATTGTGTCAGCCATTTTTAATCCCTGTAGTTACTACAGTAGGACTTTATGGTTCTTTCTTTTATTAAGCAAAATATTCCTTGCAATGAGAGATTATGTTGAATGTTTGCATATTTTAGACTGGATCCATCATCAGCCTTGGATTTTCTGTGGGCGTGCAGTCACATCCCACGTATCTGGCAAGGACGTGACCAGAAGATCCCTCAGGTATGATCACAAGACACTTGTTCTTAATTTTGGATTATATAGAAATCAGAAGCAGTTCAGTCTGCAGAAGCCAATGACTTGTGTATTTTCGTGTCTGTGCAGAAGAAAACGGAGAAGTTTGTGCTGCGTCTCAGTCCAGAGGAGCTCATCAGCCTAGTGGACCTAATCCTATCAGAGTCCGAGCTCAGCAGTCACGACTCACCCCACGGTGACAAAAGCAGTGTGGACCAGGCCTCCTGCTCTCTCATCCAGTCCAGGCTACCTCTCCTTCACTCCTACTGCAATGGAGATCTGGAAAATATCAAGAAAGTGTCAGAGTACCTCATCAGCTGCACAAAGAAATGGGATGAAAGGTAAGGTGTTTATTTGCTGTCATCTGGTATATTTAAGTGCTCATCTTCTCAAATTTTTACTCTTTCTTCCCTCGAAGATACATAAGGTCATAGGCCCAGGGCCATTTCTTATTTATTTTCCCCCTACCCCTTGTTTTCAATTAACCCTCAAAACATAGTTAGAAGCAAGGACAACCCTTCAAAACCTCTATGCACATCAGTAGTTAATCACTCAGTTTTGGGTGTGTAGCCCTGCCTCTCCTTCCTAAAGAAGATCGATTTGGGACACCCCTACCACTACACATGAACACACAAAACAGAGGAGTAGGGCTAAGTGCTAGGGGAAAGCGATGAATGGAGATTGGGCCATATTTTGCCATATAAGGTTCACCAAAGTGCTCAGCCCATCTGTTTTGACACATTGTGTTGTTCTTTCTAATTAGCCTCAATATGGAAAGTGTTTTTCTTTCTTTTTCCTGTTATGGTATGTTAATACACTTTGGGTAAATTGCAACAGATTTTCCTTCTCAGTGCAGAAGAACTTTTCAGACTTCCTCTGTCAGCCACAATGCTGTGGGCCAGGGAAAACTCGATAATTAGTTCTATTGGTGTGAAATTAAAACTAGCAGAAAGTCGTCTGTACTGTGATCTCTATAAAAGCTCACTGTATTATAATGAATCCAAGAGGATTAAGGCTGAAGCTCTAAACTTGCCTGTGTTGTGAATCCCTGCTCTGACTTAGCTGTCAGAGATCAGGGTGCAACTCTTTATGGAGGCAAAACCTCCTTTCATGAATATGTCACTGGTTATTAAACCACTTTAATGAGGAAACTTTGGCCAAGGTCAAGCAAAATTAGCTTCCAAATTACAGTATTTTAAGTACAGCTAAGCTGTCCACTAAAATGGTTGCTATTGAAAATAGAGCAGGATAAAAACATGTTGGAATTAAAGGGTTTTGGCCCTGTATTGACTAAACACGTGATTATATGTTCAATATTCTTGTGAAAGCTCGCTGTCAAATAAGATGGTGTTTATTCCGATTACACACCAACTATTGAACAAGGAGCGGCCTCTTTACTCTTGGTCAAGGTCGCTGTGATTTGCTTAATGCATAGCTGTAATAAACTCTTTGAATCATTTGAGCCTGACCAGAGCCTTGGCCAGTAAGAGGATTTTTATGAAACTACAGATGTGTCAGAATTACATTACATTATTCATGTGCCTTGCTTGTATTAATGTACATTAATTATTGTCTCTCGTAAACAGAAACAACAGAGACCTGCTCGCAGCGCTCTAATCTGCAATTTCATATCAGCTCTGTGGATAATCAATTGAAAGAGATGGAGAAACTGAATTCCTCAAAACCTGAAGTATTTTTTTTCTGTGAAACTTGGTACATTGTCAGTAAAACTATGGAGTAAAACTCACTTGAGTTTAAAAGCTGTGACAGATTTTGTGTGGCTGCACAACATTTTTCAGCCATTCACTGTCAGGTAAATATCTTAAAGGTACACAACTCAGTAACATCAGGCTTCATTTGAGCCTGATTTGAGGGATCAGGCTTAATTATTTTGTTACTAAGCGTGTGGCTTTATGACTGACAGCTGAACTGTCCAAATAGATTTTCCAAAATGTGGCAAATGGCAAATTTAGTTGGTCACATACTATATACTAACTTTTTTTTGTTTTGTTTTGTTTATTTTTTTTAGTGCAATGAGTAAGCAGTGCCAGAACTTGCTGCTGCAGATCTATCTTCACTTTCCTGAGGTCATCCAGCATATCACCCTGCCAGAAGGCACCTTCAGTAGTGGTGGGACTGTAGATGGCAGCTGCAAGGTAAGGATTTCTTGTGGATTGCATAGTTGTTGCCAGCTAAATCTCAGCAATGTTGTTGTGGCATGTTTGTCTCGCTCTCCTCTCCATACTAAGTAAAATGTCTGGTTAATTTAGTAGTAACTTCCTGAATAAATGTTAACACTACTGAGTGAAAACAGATTTTCTGAGTATTGTATAATAAGCACAGCACATGCAGCAGTACACAATGCAGTCTGACACTACATGGTATATACTGTATATTTTTGTTTTTTTATTAGCTTGATGTCCTTGTCCATCGCCTGGTCACACTGCTCGCTGACATAGGAGATTCAAAGTCTGCCGAGAGTCGTGTGTCTGATGCCAACCTTGCCTGTAGAAAGCTGGCTGTGTCACACCCTGTCCTTTTGCTCAGGTGGGAAAAATACACTGCCGTAGTTTGTTGGCTTTCAGTCTATTGTCTCAGTTTTCTGCTACTACAGGCTAGGCCTTAACCTGCTTACTGTTCTACGTTTTTCCACAGACACCTGCCAATGATTGCAGGTCTCCTACGCGGTCGCATTCACCTAATCATGCAGGAGTTTCGACAGCAACACCACATGACATTCTTCAGCAATGTGCTTGCCATCCTTGAGCTACTGCAACCGCTTGTTTTCCACAGCGACCACCAGAGGGCGCTTCAAGACTGTCTCCTTTCCTTTATGAAGGTCCTTCAGGTGAGCAGCTCACACACTTTCAAACCTTCACCAGAGGATTTAGATTCAATGAGCTACAAATCCTATTTTCAGTTGTTTGTTTGTGCATCATTGTTATTCTTATTTCAGAGCACGCGTTCTCCGTTGGTGTTCATCAACAAGTTTCTGCAGTTCACACAGAAGTACATAACGCATGGTGCAGCAGCTGCTATTCCTTATCTACAGAAGCACTCTGACATCTTGCAGTAAGTGGCAGCAGTTTTTTTTTTCAAGATATTTGTGATAGTTAAACTGCTTGAATGAGTTCTTTTATATGATATTTTCCTACGCAGCATGTCTTTTGTTTTAAAATGAGTTCTGTTTTGGTGTTTCTCCTGCTAGAGGCCTGTGTGCAGAAAACCCAGATTTGATCCAGCTGAAGTCTTTACTGGCTGCTCTGACTTTGCCTGTTAAGCGCTCTTCTGTAGAGGCTGCAGCAGAAGAGAGAGATGGTAAGCACCGTTCTCATATCAGGTGTTTAGGATCTTGTGAGTCCTTGCAGTCTTATAGAGCCCTCACATCTGAAATGAGTTTAAGTGATTACCTTACACCTAATCATGTAACATGTGTGGAAACTTTTTTTTAAACAATAATTTTCTACATAAGAATATGCTTTGATAATAATTATTGTTGATCATTACCAGATGAATTGTCCACTGGTTCCCTGCCCCTAGTCAACATATCGGCCTCCGTTTCACTGAGTGCGGCCGACATGACAATGTACCTGAAAAAGATGTCAAGAGGAGAAGCAGTCGAGGGTGACTGACATACTGCTGCAGTAATATCACATCTATGAATCCTGTATCATGAATAATACCCACATTATTACTTTTTTTTTTTAAACCCATCTGCTACAGATGTGCTGGAAGTGTTGACAGAGGTGGATGAGAAGTCAAGGAGGAGCCCTGAGATCATTCAGTATTTTATTGTGAGTCATAAACAACAGACACCAGAGAAAAGGTCAAGTGTAGCGCCTGTCAGTAATATGTCGATCACCACTTTACATTGGTGTTTGCAGAATGATCTGCAGAGACTGATGACTTCCTCTGAGGAGCTTTGTCGGAACATGGCTTTCAGTCTGGCCTTGCGCTGCATCCAGAATAATCCCTGGTAAGTTTGTAGGACTTCGGGACAAACCACTTACAGAAAGCATGTTGGAACTGAGACTGAATGTGTGGAGGTAAAGAAGAAATGCCAGAGGTTTAAACAGTAATGATTTAGTGATTCCTATCCATCAATCATTCTTCACTCCATCTGTCTACATGCTTTATTTGTTGCCATTTACTTGTCACTGTAGAGTGAATGTTTTCTGTGCTTCAGCTTGGCAACAGACTTCCTGCCAACTTTCATGTACTGTATGGGCAGTGGCAACTTCGATGTGGTACAGACTGCTCTCAGGAATCTTCCAGAATATGTACTTCTCTGTCAAGGTAAGAAAATGCTCTTCAGCCACATCCTTGTTGACGGTGAGCTGCTGAAAAGCAGTCACACCCGTGCCTGTCTTGTATTATTGTCACATGACCACGCAGTGTTTTTAGCAAAAACAAAACAAAAAAAAAAAAAAAGTGATTTAACAAAGCATGCACCTGAAGTCCAAGTTGTAATATACTTTTTTCTTGCCAGAACACGCAGACATCTTGCTTCACAAGGCCTTCTTAGTGGGTATCTACGGACAAGTTGACACGAGTTCAATGATCTCAGAGTCTATGAAGGTCCTTCACATGGAAGCAACAACATAACGAAGTATATTGCTCCACATCTGAGTGAAAATAGTGTCATTCATTATCTGCATTCCAGAGCTAGATTGTTTTTTTGTTGTTTTTTTTTATTGACTCTAGTTCAAACATTGTTCAGAAAAATTCCGTCTATAATAAGTGTAACATTTCTCTTACTGTAATAAAATCACAATTGGTGCATTAATAACTTCTTGAGGGATGTAAATTATTTTTAATTGATAATGTAATAATACATTTTTCCATGACTAAACTTGAAACATTATTAGGTGATGATATTATATCCTTAGACAATACATAAAACATATTCACAAGTAGAAAAATGATCATCATTCAATATAACAAAATGAATATTGTAATATAATATTACATATCATTTCAACAATTGTTCAATTACAGTGAAATAATTATAAAAACCTAGATTCATTTGAAGAGAGATTTTCATGTCTGCAGTCACTAAATTATCAGCAGTCATATTATTCAGCAGTACTGATCTTGGTCCGTATTTGAAAAAGGCTTCACATTTTTAATAGTTTGAATATGAAGTAACATTTTATACCATGTTTTTAGAAAAGCTTTTGACAAATATTTATTTATTTTTTTGCAGTCGGTACGTGACGAGTTTGACTGATTTTCAAATACACCCAAAATGCCAAACAACTTGGAATTATTAAAAGTAAAAAGCTAAATCTGTCACTGTGCTATACAGTGGTGAATTCCTTTTAAAAAAGGCCATCTGAGAGCCACCTTGACGTCAACTTAATTCAAAGTAATAGTTTAACACCTGGAACAAGCTTTAGGGGAAAAAATACATGGTGTCTTTTGTGGCCTTTGTTTTCATTCCAGTAATTCTTGGATCCTGATTAAATTGGAAACAGCTGTCATAGGTACGCTTCCTCTTCACTGAGGTGTAACAGACAAAACCATTTTGCCATGAAAGTGTGAGTTGTTTTGCCCAGTGCCACTGACTTCACCTGAAATCCTCTTGACGGAGTCAAAGGGGTAAGTTAAACAATGTGCAGGCATGCTGGTAAACTAGGGAAGTGGGCTTACCTATTGATGGTTAATTAACCATAGCAGTAATTGTTCAATCACACAAACCAAAGGCTGCTTTGAAGATATGATGTGTGGGAAGGCCATTTTGCAGCACAGACTGCTGCTGGTGTTTTGTTACATAGGAGGACATGGAGATGCAACCACAACATGGTTAGGGATCCTCGGTGAGGGCGAGACATGCCCACACTGGTGGGTCAGTGGAATCTGTCATTCAGAAATAGCAGGCAATGTGAGATGCACGAGCTGGACGGCTGCAAACGGCCTGTCTCAGACTACATCAGTGAACCTTTTTTTTAATGTAACGCTTTAACCAAGGCTTGAGGTCAGAGTGCTTCAAAACTAGACCAAAACTGACTACTTAAGGTGGCTTTATTGAGTAAAAATTCATGAAGATCGTGTTTCTTTTTTAAAGTATTTGGACAGCAAATAATATATAGCTGAGATCAAGACACATGTCAACAGTCGTACATAATTCAAACCTAAGAAATTCAGAATAAATTATATATGTCTGCCTTTTTCTTTTTTGCGATCAACATACTCCTTAATATGTATTCACACATTCATTCCTGTAATTAACTGGTTCATATGTAAATCCAATCTTATCCTAACCATCAAGCCTCATACCTGCTGATCTCAATGGCGTTTGTCCGATGTGATAATTGCACCTGTGTGGTGTCCTATAACTAGCCGAAAGCTCTGTTTACTGTTATCAATCAACTTACTACATAAGTCTTTGCAGCCTGGGCTCTTGGTCAGGCGCCAGCATCCTATTGGCTGTGCAGCAGTGAGGCGTAACAGAGATGAGTGACAGTCGAGGAAAGGCGGGGGGGCTGTTAGTCTGACAGACCACTAACAAGGAAACAAGCTCAGCCATTATTTGCCATAGCGGGTTGGGTGCCCTCAGATGACGCCGCTAAGAGCAAACTGCTCATTTGTTCATATTGAACATACTTATGGAGGTAATTAAGGGCTGGTGGTGGAAACCCACTGAGTAGTGCATTTTTAGGTACTCAGATTTTATTACTTTATACTTTTTCTGCACTCAATTTCAAAGGGAAATGTTTTTCTTTGTGCTCCAAAGTACACACGGTATTTGATGGCTTTAGCTGAATTTCAAATTAACAATTTACCAAAAAAGCAAATGTTAATATAAGCTTATAAGACATCAAATCAATGGTTTCCAACATTTTTGACTTGTGATCTGCTACAAAAAAAATAGTTTCTAGTTGTGGTCTTGTCACATTTCAGTTGTCTGAGTTGTTAGTAGTTCCAACAAAAAACTTCCCTATAAAAAAGCAAAGCAGAATATAGAGAAAAGTCCAAAATAGTAGTTAAAATTTATGCAACAGAACTTTGTTTCTTCCTCTTTCCTATACCCAGAACCTGCTGGTTTATCTTGTGACTCTTGTTAGGGAGCCTGACCCCGAGGCTGGGAACCACAAACTAAACGACTAAACTGTACCTTCCAACCAGTTACAACTGTAAAATTCTACTTGTGTACTGATACACGACTATAACCAATCTATTAACGTCATATGCATAATATCAGTCCCACAGTGAGTTGGCTGATTGTTCAATTTAAGAGAAGGATTTAAGTACTTTTTCTAAAACTGGCAGTGGGACAGTTAGATTATTTGAAAGTGCAACACATGGTTGTCAGTGGGTCTTCCTGCCTGTGTCAGAATGGACAGCGAATGAACAGCACTACAGGAGGGCCCCTGATGTGCCGCTACCTGCCCATGCACATCTGTCTGCTCTCCGTTTTCCTCTCAATAGCACCCTTGCCTTAGATCATCTCCTCTCCTCCACGCTTGAGTTGCACTTGGCTTGCGTGGAAAAAATGCAGACCATCTCTTGCCTCTTCTTCGGCCTGGCACTTTGATGTCTCAAGTGTGATTGCGATTGGATTGTGGCCGCTTTCCCTTGAAGGTTTTGACATGAAAAGCAGGATGGGCTCTCAGGTTTATCCCACGGCCAGTGATCCGGGACTAAAACAATCAGCCAGCTCACTCTGGGATACTATTACCAGGGAGTGTGAGGCACCAAGCACAGGGGCTTCCTCAGCCATGAAATACACATTTCTTCCAGGTTACAAACACATTTTAGGTGTGTTGATTGAATTACACCAATCCACACTCCCATTAATAGATTTTAGTTTGAAGTTTGTGCAGGCAGTTCACACTAAAATCCATATGCAAGCAACTGGAGAATACATCCCCAATGTGTTTGCACAGAGGTGGATGACTGAAATGATTCAACATTTGCAATGAATTAAAAAGAAATGAGGCCAGTAATTGCAGTTAAGATTGACCCAATCTGATAAGTATTATAATGTGACATGTCATTAACAGCAGAGGCATAAGTGACAACCCTTAAGCTTCACTTACACTTTCATTAAATATTGATCTTATCTGTGCTCATTGCTGTTTCAGCCTGCAAATTACACTAGACAGATATATTCCCATGACGGGAGAGCTGACGATAATCATCCATCTTGGTGTGACATTTGGCCGAACTCTTGTTTTATAAGCTAAAGTGCCATTGTAGTGGATGAGAAAAAATAATAACATGCAGTGTTCATGATCTCCATTATGTCAGATTGTATCTTAGCACGCGAAAGGCAGAGTGTCACAGTTAATGCACTCCATCCATGCCTGTCAAGGAAAAAATGGGAGGAAATAGCATTAGTTCATTAACATTTCAACTTACTGAAATGTTTCGTGCAACAAATCGTCAAAGGAAGCTCTTTAGTTAACAGTTTGAAAACAATAACGTTTGTGGGTAGAGCTGCAATTGCCAGTTAATCTGTAACTAAGTTGGTGATCAAATAATTGATTTAGTCATTAAAAAATAAAACTAAACATTTACTTAAGGAGCAGATCTAGAAAATTTTGGATGGGGTGGCCAGGTTGGGGCTCAGACTGAGAGGAATGGTACATTTGAAATCCATCCATCCATCTATTATCTATAACATTTATCCTAATGAGGGTTGTGGGGGAACTGGAGTCAATCCCAGCTGACGAGGCATTTGAAATACATGCAAAAAGTAAATTAAACCTATGGCTCCATGAAATAATAAACCATACATTATTAAAAGTCAGACTATTTATTTTGTGTTCAGATGAGACACACACACTGCTTTCTTCAGCTAACTTTGGCTGCGCTCCTTATTTACTGCTGGCCGGGGACATCGCTGCTGCACAGTGGTGGTTCATCATGCAGAGTACTCCAAATATCATGCTGCATGCACGATATAAAATAAAACTAATTTGACCATTATCACTTGTAAAACACCAGAAAAATATTAGTTGTATTTAAGGCAACTTTTAATTTAAGGCGATTTTTCATAGTTTTTAAATTCATTAATACCAACATGCATAGCACTAGCAGGGTGGCACCAGGCATGGCCAGTCAAATTCTGGGGGTGGCCCTCTCTTGGCTCTGCCTATGATTTACTGGTGGCAGTTTTTTTTTTTATGTGAGCACTTAATCTTTTCCTTTGTCATACATGATGATAAATGTAATACGCTTGGATTTTGGGATGTTCTCGAGCAAAACTGTACATGTAAAGACACTATAGGGTTGTGGAAAATTATTATAATTATACATTTAAATATTATAATCCCACTACTTTTAGGTTGCCTGAAAAATCTGTGATTGCAAGTTTATTAAACCCTCTCAGACATGTTTTGAATAATAATAAAGAAAAGATTCAACTGGAGGCTTCAAGTTACCACATCACACTTCTGTAGGTTGTATACTGGACTAAAAGTGGCTTCCAAAACATGTTCGTTTGTACCTATGTAAAGTCAGGATTAAGGTGAGCACAGACAAATCCCTCCTTCAAAAGGTGAATGTGAAAACAGTGTTTGAGCGTTATTATTCTCTATCAGTGAAGGTCAAGCATCCGAATGATGTAACAATAAGCAAAACATATTTTTGAGTGGCAGAGACTTTAAAGTTCTCAAATTCAAGGTAAGTTTTGTTATCCAAAACACATTTCAGTAGGATTTCAGGTGTCTCCTTCCTTCCTAGATTGCAATGAATGAATGCAAGCTCAAACAAGTTAATTTCAAGCTAAAGCCATCTCAGGACATCCCTTTGGTGGCTTGCTGAACCCAAGGATAATGCACATCCTGTCCCTGCAGTTGAAGGTCTGCTCCTGATATGATAATTGCCATTGTAGCTGTGGATCTCCAGTGTTACCTTGTCATCCAGGGAGCTTGAAATACCTGAGAGACCAATAAGACCTGGCATTAGCCATTACTATTGTTGTCTTAATGCCTCCTTCAATTATCCACAAGCAGCTCTTTTGAGCAACTACTGTCAGAACCTCCCCCACTGGTTTTTCACCAATTTTGTCCTGATTATCTGGATCAATGAGCATTAAAGGACACAGGCACAGACAAACACAGACGTTTGGGGGTTGGGAGATGGGGGTCTACTTGCAGACAAACCAGAAATCCCTGTAACTACCTGTGTGCCAGGGACAAATGGAGATGGCCGTTCAGTCATCAGTCCCACAGTGTTTATTTAGCCACAGCTCCAACCACTCAAACCAGACACTTTTAATCTATTTTGCTTTTCCCTGCAGAACTTGCAAACCCAAGAAATTGTCTTTCAATCCTTCTCACGCACATACAAATACACACACAGCCAAAAGTGCTAAAAGGTCTTTTTAAGTTTTGATGGTGGCCCTGCATTAAAGTAATGCAGTATACCTTTTCAGTAATATGTATTTTAATGTCATTATGTAGATGGAATAGAACTCTTTTATATAAAAAAAAATGCTGAAGCTAAAGCTGTTTTGTTGGCCTCTGGTTTACTGGGGGACTTCATAGTTTAATGCATTTAAAGAGTTTTTTTTCCCACATTGTCAGGAATCAAATTAAAGGCAAAATTGTGGATCTCTATAACTCTTTTAACAGAAAAACACGTATAACTAAATATTGGCTTTCAGTGTCAGCACCAACTTCTAAATCAGTCAAACCCTAATCCTGACCCCTTTGCTGCCTCCACTAAGGCATTAATTCAATGTTTGAACAGGTGCAGATGAAAGGGCCACAGGTGAGGGAGTTGCGCTCCTCACTGCTTGCTTGCAGAGGAATGACCGTCCTGTGACTCACCTGAGCTCTGACTGGCTGCCTCCTGCAGAGGTCCTGGGCTGATCAAAGCTGCCTCAGCCCGCCTGTTCAGCGGTGACGGCGCTGACAGTGCCGTGTTTTTACCGCTGACTGAGCCGATGAGCAGTTTGTCAGAGGTGTCGCTGAGCAATATGTATCTTCAGATTAATTGATACACCTGTGTTTAATTCACACAGACAGCGCTAGCGATCATCTCATCAGAGATCCATCAACACTAAGCCGTGGGTTCCTTGCTCAAAGAAAAAAAAATGTAATCTTCCTGTCTTGGTTGTGTGTGCTTTGATCTGGGATGGAAACACCCTCAAAGTCTTTGGTAACACTATGACTACCGTCTGCATGCTCTACAGCAAGTGCTCATTCATAAACACTAAAATAATAAAAATATTATGAATAAGAAGTCTCTTAAGTTAGCAGGAAAGATGTTGGCTTAAAACTCCATCTACATGCTTGGATGTTGCATGTAAGTTGGTAGTAAATAAGACCACTAGTCACAAGTTCAGTAATTTTTAGTTGACTGTTTCCCATCCAGGTGTTTCCATGCAGGTCTCTGTGCTGAAGCAGCCTACCCACTAAGTAGGTAACAGATTTTTATTTGTCAAGTTGCAATTTTGTTTCTTAATCCAAATAATGATAGCCAGCGGCTACAGAACTGGTTTTCATCCAGATGGTTTGTAGCAATAAATTTCCATAAATGTCCTTCTGGGTTTTTAACCATAGCCACATATTTAATTTTTTAGAGATGTAAATGTTAGCTCTTGCTAATGCTAAAACATGAAAGGCATAAACTGGGGCTAGAATTTGGTTACCTTGCTCAAATCACTGTGTTTTGCAGTATTTACTCCAGGATTTTAAAATAGAAAATCTTTTGCATTTTAGATGGGATGCGCTTTCAAATTTTGGTTTCAAAAAAGCTGAAACAAAGTGTTTATCAGTCAGTGAGGTCTACATGCATTCTACATGGTACATGATATTGTACAAACATTGGAAAGAAATTCCACCAGACAGACTGTATTATTAAAGTTATAATTCATTTTTGTGACAGTAATACTATGGCCCAAAAATCAGTGAAAATTATAAAACATTATACTTTATAATAAGGATGAAAATCATGAGATGCCAAATGAACATCTGCACTTTTTGCATTTAAACCCAATAGTGTAGCCCTTTAATATTTTTACAGGTGTCAATTTTTCACTACATTTGCCTTACCTGTATTCATTTTTCATTTATGGATTTCATCTGTCAAGTAAAGAAGGAATTTGTATGCACTGTTACTACTCATTAATTTAGAAGAAACAGTGCAATTATATCAACAGTCAAAGGAGGCATGAAAAACATTCGACACATTTCAGTTTCGTCACTTTGTAATCAGGAAGAGTGTGTTTATCTTGGGACCTGCTGCTCAGGTGTGCTGCCTTTTCATTCCACAGGCCTGAGCAGCTTGTGTTTTCATTAAACTACTTCTTTGTAGTAATTTGTTCTTATTATATTTGGCAGGTGTTAAACTGGCCAGATGAGTGTTGGGCAAATCTCTAAGGTGTATGTGTCTAAATGAGCATAAACATCCTCACAACTTAAGAGCCTGTCCATGTCACTGATTGAAATTTCAGAAGCCAACTTGTCAGGCAGATGGACGAACAGACCCTATGACTAAAATTTAAGAAATGCTGTAGATTGTATGGCATATGTGGTTGGGAAAGTAATGACGATTGCAGGAAAGACTGATGGGGTAATGCTGATAATCCATGGAGGGATGAATCAGAGGTTGGATTTTCACCTCTGTCCTAAAAACCAAGCCCTGCTGTATCTTTGAAGGTCATGTGACAGGGAAAGGCGGGGGAGAGGATTGGAGGAGAAGAATAGAAGGCTGGGGTGAGACCACCTCCAAAACTGAAGTCTTACCTTTACTCTTCAGGCAGCACCTTGTACCAGTGCTGACAACCAGCTGGACTGATGCATCTAGTGTTTTTATCATAGCTGTTTTTTTTATTGTGAATGTTGGGATGCATTTCATCTTTCAACCAGCGTCCGTGTAGGAGTCAACCTGAACCTTTTCATTGGACTGACTTAATACTGGACTCAAAATTGCTTGGACATGTTTGGCCCGGCGCAACTAGTCTCTACTTTCCTGCCTGCAGTTTTCCATTCACCTGCAGCTCACCTATTCCCTGCATTCCCAAGCAGGCTGGGCTCTCAAACTCAGATTCTGATCCCAGGGCCCTTTATCAGCTACGAATCCTTGAGGACTTATCTGCAGCCACAGCCATGCAAGGAAGCTTTGCTCCTGGCTACACAGGCACCCGGGATGAGGCAACTCACAGAGGGCATAGGTGAGTTCAAACCACAGCTGCTGTGGCCAGAACTGGACTTGACAGGACTAAAGCACAGCCAAACTGGCACTGTATGACTACAGCCTCTAAGACAGTCAGTGAGCACCATCTGATTGCAGTGTAAATGTTTACAAAAGATTGGCTAACAGCTCGTAACTAACAATCAATTATCAAGCAATGTTTAAGTGGGCCTAATGATTGCTGTGCTAATTATCCAATCTAGAGCCATTAGTTCCTTGTCACCCGTTGGCGATTGTGTAATTGGTGCTTGCGCTGTACTTTCCAGATGAACAGAGGCCAGTGAAGCAGCGTCGCGCAAGGGCCAACTACAGCAGCTGGCAGCTGGAGGAGCTGGAAAAGGCCTTCGAGACCACCCACTACCCAGACATCTTTATGAGGGAAGCCCTGGCCCTCAGACTAGACCTCATCGAAGCCCGAGTACAGGTAATTGGTACACTGTGTTATATTTTAGCACAGCAATTAAATGATATATAATTTGGATAGGCAAAACAATACCAACAGGCCTTTGTGTACAGTGAAACGGTTATTAATATCTGTACCTGTTTCTCCTGTCCACACTGAGACTCCTAACTTGCAGTGTACTGTATGTCTATATACTGTAAGAGATGGGGGGGGGAGCGTCACAGTGTTCAGTACTTGGTCCATACGACAACACATTCAGAAGTTCAAATGAAATTATATGAGGCTTGAATGGTTAGAGCTGGTCAAATAAAGTTGGCATCTTCCAAAGTTACAATATTTCAGTATGAGATTTTTAGTGTGTTTACAGTGGAATCACACTATAACGCTTTCAGTGTACATTTACACAAGTGAGTTGAGTTCACGGAATGTGACGCTATCCTTCGATGAAGTGCAAAGCTATGTCGATTCAGAATTTGGCTTGTAAAATACTGTGGAATGTTCTATCAAACTTTGAAGCTATATCTTGTTGACATTTTGAACCTTTCACACAGCTTTGATTTATATTTATACTCCTTCATGTGTTTCCAGGTTTGGTTTCAAAATCGCCGGGCCAAGATGAGACGGCAGCTGAAACTTCAGGGCCAGCTTGCAGGGCCGCATGTAAAAAGAGACAATGAAACATCTGAGAAGGTGAGCAGGATTTTAAAACAGCAGACAGAAAGCTGTGGCAGAGAGCACTGGGAGAGACGCCAGGAAGCAGAAAACTATTCATGGACACAAGCTGTGGGTGCTGCTCTGAGTTTGGCTTCACAGCCTGTGACCGAGAGGTCGCGGAAATGGGAGAGACCAGAGGGGCCGAGCTCAGAGGAGCTTCGCTCCTGCAGCATTGCCAAGTTGAGGGCCAAAGCCAGAGAGCACGAGGCTGAGATCCATGGCACTGTAAGCGTGTCAGGTGGTGACATACAAACACAGGAAGCTGATGCCATGCACAGTGATTGATCATATTCCTTCTTCCTGTTTATACAGATAATCAAAAAAAAAAAAACAACACAATGTATACTATAACTATAGTGGAACATCCTTTTTGAACCTTTTCGGGATGAAAAGCCTTATTATTTAGCCATTATTAAATATTTTGTACACTACAAAATGATGGTAGATCCATCCATCCATTATCTGTACAGCTTATTCCTGAACAGGGTCGCAGGGGCTGGAGCCAGTCCCAGCTGACACTGGGCAAGAGGTGGAGTCAAAACAATAGTACTCTTGTCATAAAAATAAAAACGATTGTTCATCCATTCACTATATTAAATTTTATGTTCATGGTACATGCCAACATTTTTCTCTGTTTTCATTTAAACCGAGCTGGGTGGTTAACATGTGTCACTGTTTTGTCTATTGATATAACAAAGATAAAAATGTAAAAAGTTTCCACACCCTCCATTAATTAAATGAATTAACTCACATCATTTACATGTGCTCTTTAAGCCTTTTTATTTTTTGAATGTGACTTTCATTTGTTGTCTACCCTGAGTGAATGGCACAGACAGTATGTTGGATCTTTAACAGATGACTATGACAAATGACTGAAACGGGATACAGTCAAATACATTACCAAAGGATTTCACTGATGACAGGCTCGTCCCTGACCCTCACAGGTGGGCAGGATGTCTGCATGCAGCCACACGTCCTCACAGGAAACAATGGAAATAGCTAAAAATCCCAACTCATTAAGACTGAGTATACATTGGTTAAATGATAAATGTTTATATGTTTTTGGAACTGTAAACATCATAGGCTTAATATTTTAAGTTTTTGTTTTAATTCGGCGACAAGAATTCCCTAAAGAGCTGTGAATCTAAAGGTCAAATAGTCACCAATCAATAAATACAAAAGAATAATATTAGAATAAAATTAATAGTTCGTGTGGTATATCAATGCAGAGGTCACAAAATGTAACTTTGTGTATGTTTTTAAAAACTTCCTTGATCTGTCTTTAGCTACTGTTTTGCAAAATTCTGGTCACAAAAACCATTTACACAGTGATATGAGAGTAAATTGTTATTAATGTTCACTTGTCAAACTGTTTAGGAAAACATAACAGTGATTAAGGAAGTGTTTTATAACTCCATGTTTAATTACTGCATGCAATATTTTACAATAAACAATGTGTTATAATATGAGGATATCTGGTTTTAAACTGTTGAATTTAATGTATGTTTTAATTTAACATACATTAATTTGCATGTGTAATTAAAAGTCTAATTATTGTTTTATTTGGTCTCACGTTTTATCCTCTGATAATATGGAGCTACAGTATAACAATTCATATGCACACCGTCTGCAGGTGATGTCCTCAGTTAATTCTAGTTAGGTTGTACATAAATGATCACATGCACCCGGTTTTATTTATTTATTTATTTATTTATTTACATGGAAACGAGTCCAGTGCTGTTTATGCATTTGACCACAGGTTTGGAGTGAGGAAACGCTGCAGTTTGACACTGCCCCCTTCTGGGCACAAAGACGTCCATGAGCTGAAATACATAGTTCAGTCAAGGCAACGTTTGTGTTTAAAATTCAGCCGCTTCCTGTATTTATTTATTTATTTATTTTTACCGCACTGTAACTTATTCGCAGATGTCTCCTAGCCTGCACTGCCACCAGACTTGTCTTACCTGACCGCTTTTAGTGAATGAGGTCGGGGTCATCTCTGCTCTCACAATTACATTCCCTATGTCAAAGGTTTGAACACTAACTTATGGAGTGTGTGTCACATCTAAAGCTCCTTTTCAAAAACAAGTCAGTGAAGCACTATTGTGAAGAATTATTGTGTTTCCTTTTACAATGGAATGATGGAGTATAGTAGTGGGCCTATAACTCTTTGAAACAAATTAACTACTGTATATAAAAGTGGCTGAGAAATCAAGCTGAAAGTTTTCCCTAAAATTGTGTGGGGCGCCATAATATGAGGTAATTAGGTCAAAATCCTTCTGTGACAATAGCTGGCCTCGATCAGGCCCCGCACAAAGGGGAGTGGGGTAAACAAAATGCCCATGTGTTACGACCCAGCTCGTTATGGAGGGGGAAGTAACACAATAAATTCAATAAATAAATTCTTTTACTGGTGCTCATCATGCACACTGACCCAGATATGCTGGCTGAGATAGAAATCACTAAAACGTCTTATTCATTTAACTATAAATCCCAAGCATACAAGCATTTGGATCACACGTTTTTAAAATATCAATTTTATATCATTATTGTTTTGATTATCAAATTTCTACATTAACTGATTTAGCAGAGTTCGTTTGAACAGCAGAAAAAAAAACCTATTTACTGTTCTGGCTGACAATGACGAATCAACAGTCAATTAGCGTAATGAAGGCGCCAGTGAGCGCGTCCTGGACTCTGCGCTCGTTTACTGGAGGTGAAAAGAAGGAAACAGGACGCAGCTGCACTGTCAAACCCCTGCCCAGACACTTTGTTTTATTTCTCTTCCCTCCGGCTCCTCCACACGGAAACCTTAGCCTGTTGCACGCTTTGTCTGTGCTCAGTGTGGAGGAGCGTCTCAGGACGATGGCTGCCATCAAGGCTCTGGAGCAGTGGTGCAAAATGCAATGCGAGGGCTACCGAGATGTGGCCATCACCAATATGACCACTTCATTCAGGAACGGATTGGCTTTTTGTGCGCTTATACACAAGTACAGACCAGACCTGATGTAAGTATTTAACTTTGACAAAGTTAAATTGAATTCCTGCCCGGGTTTAAGTGCTTTGACCAAAGATGCCACCTGGCAGCCTGTCTCTTGTAGTAATTTCTTGTAGCTTTCTATAAAAGTTTGTCTTTACTGAATATTGACTTTATTATTATTATTTGTTGTTGTATAATGCTTCTGCCTTTTCATTCTGTTGTACAGTAAATGACTCCTTAAAATGTTTTATAGAAAGCTGAAATCTTCAGTCCAGATCGAAAGTTCAATACGTTTTCCTCCCACCATGCCTATAACGTCTCTCTCTGTTGTTTGTTTGTTTTTTCCCAGAGACTATGACGCACTCAGAAAGGAGGATGTGTTTGAGAACAACAGGCTGGTAAGTTGTTGTATCTGCCTTACTTCAAGCATGAGCTACAACACACACTACTGGATTTTCACTTGGCATTTATGCAGCAGATTGGTTAGATATTTAGTTTAACAACAGCTTTTTAAGCAAATCCTCTCAACCAACTTCTCACATTAAAGTTTTTGGTTCTTATTCTCCCTCAGTCCGCTTGACCTCCGTTTATTTTGTGAACTCCTACATGGCCTGAGCAGCACAGCCAGTGCCTTTCCATTATTTAGTCCCTTCCATTTACCAGCTTCTTCTGAGGATTACAGACCCTGCAGAGCACTACAGTGTTCTGTGCTCTGTACAACTTCCTTGTTGTTTTGGATGAATGTGGCAGTGTCAGCAGCAAACCTGAGCTCAGGGGACAGGTTCTCCAGGTTATTAATTTTGAATGAGGTTTGCTATCATCTGCCGCTCGATCCACATGATGACGGTGCGCTCAAAGATGCTTTTATTGACAGCTGCTTCTTGAAAGTTATGCAGTAAGGAGAGCTTTAAATCAGAGAGTAGTTGTGTCATCGGGCTGAAGTTTTGATCAGCTGTTGAAGATGTATTGAAACATGAGAAGGTAATTGGTGTGCAAGGTTCACGCCCTTCTATATTTCATGAATAGTTTCATGTTTCTTACAGGTGGTTATTTCACAAGTCTTTTGTTTGCAGGCATGAATACAACCCACAAATGTAGTATTCACTAAAAATTAGGCTTATTCTAAACAATACCCTGATATCCAGCTCCTTCCGTCCTCTTTCTTATCCAGACAATCTCACCGGAAATGCGCCGTTCATTATACAGCCCTTTACAGACTTCTCCAGGCCGAGCCACAGAATACTGCTTGTCTATTTAAAGCACATTATATTGTCTGACATTTTTACACATGCTATAATTTTAGGTGTCTGTGCCCACTGAGTACCATGTTTTATAGAGTAAAAATGCTTTGGCTCTGTTTACTTGATCACCATATACTACCATTAAATGTTGTGGCAGGCTTTGATGGCTCTTTGTTAAACCTTTTTATTTTTTTGTCTCCTTTAAAGGCTTTTCGGGTTGCAGAGGAGAAGTTGGGGATTCCAGCTCTGTTAGATGCAGAAGACATGGTGGCTTTAAGGATCCCAGACAGGCTGAGCATTCTTACCTACGTCTCCCAGTACTACAACTACTTTAAAGAAGGACCTCCCAGTGAGGACACGGCTGGTTCGAGTATTAGAAACTGTGTAGCCAAGATTGAGTTGTCCCCTTAACCAATATGTCTTGTTTAATTTGGAGCATTTTCCTATATATTTCTGTTTTAGGTTGAGGTATATTGTTTCTCTCCTCTGCCTCCTCTGAGGTGTTTGTTTTACTTCTCTGTAGTGGGAGGGGTCAAAAGGCCAGCAGAGGGCTCCAAGGAGGAGCCATCAGAGAAGAAAAATCTCCCTGTGGTTGCCACAAATGTTGTGTTTAAAAAAGACATTGAGAATCATTTATCTTTGAGCCCAGCAGCTCATGCCTCACCAAAGTTGGCCAGAGCTGCTGTTCAGGTCAGTGCTCATGTCAGAACCCTCATCAGGCTGTAGCTGTGTTAATCCTGTTTGTCGGTTGTCTAGTACTCTTACATTTGACCACAAACAGTTGTTTGAACAGGAAGAATTGTGCTTATTTTCAATGGCTTGGGTAAATGTTGTGAAGTTAAATGTAATAAGTCTTTGTACACAGGGTTACGTGACTTTTCTTTTTACAGAAGCCGGTTTTGGCAGACAATGCCAACAAAAATGGAACTCTCAATAGCAAATGTGTTGCATGTAAGAGCCACGTTCATCTGGTTCAGAGGCACTTTGTGGAGGGCAGGCTCTATCACCGAAGCTGTTTCAAGTAAGAGTTTAATCTATATTGAAGAATCTTATTATTTATATAGCATTTATGCATTCAGGTGCCAGTTTGTGGGTAGACCTAGCCCAACCTGTTGCAGTCAAATACGTCAGTATTTCCTGTCTCCATGAAGGCTGTAATGTTCAGTGAGGGTCGGCTAAATGGCAAACCCTTCTTTGTATAACAGCATCACAAACTACAGCCTTCAAAATGACCATAAAATTAATTTTATAAGCAAAGTTAACACCTGTCTAAAGCAAAATGAACATTGTTACTTTCAGGAAAGGAGGATTTATTGCAGAGCTCTTGAATTAGACTGCATTTAGCTTGGTGTACCTAATAAACTGGCAGCAGGATGTAATTTCATGTTTAACAACCTTCCACCAGATGCAGTGATTGCTCCAGCGTGCTTCATGCAGGAGGCTACAAACCTGGGAAGAATCCAGACACTTTTATCTGTATCAACCACCAGAATGGTTGCAAACCTTCCTCCTCCGTGGCTGAGATCAAAAACGGACCCACCGGTTCAGCTGTACCACCGAACGCTGTCGGCCAGACCCAGCCTGCCCCACACCCCTCTTCAGTGCTGTTAACTCCATTAAATGTTGCTCTGAAGCCAGTCAGTCCTACTCCGCCTTCCCAGTGCTGGACAGCTTCGGCCATGAAGACGCAGGCGGCCCGGGAGAGGTTTTTCCAGAGCACGCTGCCAGTCACAGAGGCCTCGACAGGCAAGAGGGAGACAACAGAGGCCTCAGGAAGGCCAAAAGTCCCACTGAGTGATGATGAGAAGAACACAGCCAAGACAAACACTGGACAGAAACTAGCAGAGGGAAACTGCAATAATAACAACAAACGCCTGTTCACCTTCCAACCAGCAGAGACACGGTGAGCTTTGCTCTCTGTGTACTTCCTGTGGCCTTGAATCAATTCTGCATTGTAGTATTTGGATGCTTCTAGTCTTTCCCACTGCTTGTATGGTTTTTAAACAGTCTAATAGTGGGGGCTTTCTTTTTTTTTTTTTTTTTTTGAAGGTTTGGAGATGAGCCAAGTTCAGCTGACAGCTCTGGTTTGATGAAGGGCCGGTGGAGCCAAGGCCCAGCAGGAAACTGGGCAGGACAGCTCTTCATCAGCAAAGCTAAATATAAGGAATTGCCATGTCTGAAGGCCATCAACAAAGACAATACAAGGCCAACAACTGTACACACAACCGCCAAAGGCAAGCGTTAGTGAATTCATTTCAGTTGTTTTTGATCCATTATTTGACATTCAGCCAACATCCCTCCCGTTCTGTGTCTGTCTCAGAGCGCATTCAGCGAAAACAAAGCCCTTTTGTCATTTCTGTCCTATTTATACAGCCAGTGCATCAAGCATGCTGTTAGCTGACATTTTAATTTCTGTCTCACGCTTGTAATAAATGTTCATAGTTGACCTGTCATTCTCATGGGATGCATGTGCATGCATCAGTGCAACATCCTGCTAGTCAGGAGCTTTGTAGACAGAAACATTATTACTGTTGGTTTTAATTGTGAATGGTATTTAGTTTCATTTTTAGCACTGAATACCTTGCATGCAAATGAATACTGTGTTTGCTAATATAAATCAGACATTAACTGTGAACTTAAGTCAGGCTTGTGTTGGAAACCTGGGTCTCCTCACAGGACATTTGAAGACGATTTGTCTCATGTCATTTTGTTAATATGGATGTGCAGGTGAAGATCAGTCACTTTAGTGCATTGCTGTGAGAGTCTAGATAATGAAATGAGTAGCTGCTCTCATTATTAGCTGTTCAGTCTTTTTTTAATTATGTACAGGAACATGAACTGCTTTGTGTGTTCACTTTATTGCTACAGCAGATGCCACACTGACATTACTGTTCTCATTTCTCCCTGGCTTTGAAATTAAGCCTGATTTCATGTGACAAGATGAAGTAATGAGCTTTACCATTATGTCTTTATTCAGAACTGAAACAGTTAGTTGACTAATCAGTTAGTCACTCAGAAAAGTTTGATTAATCCATTCAGATGTTTATCAAACATAAGTCCCAAACATCTGCTAGTTTTATATTTTTTTTTATAAATTAAATATCTTTGGGTTGTGGATTTTTCAGGCCAAACATTTAGAGATGTCGTCTTGGAGCTCTCAGCCTTTGTGCCTTTATTTTTTTTTTCCCACTAATTATAGACTAAACGACAACTTGATTAACCTCGAAATTAATTGACAGATCAATAAATAATGGGGGAAAAACTAATGTGAGCTTTTTTTTTTTCTCTAATAGATCCAGAGTGGAAGCTCAAACCTGAGAAAACTGAGACAGGACTAAAGTAAGTATATTCATCCATGTTAATAATGTGTTGCTTCATGCACTCACCATGGAATGGGGAAAGTCACACCGGTGGAGAGAGAGTCTTTAAATCCTTGCCTTTAATTTGTTGGGCTAGAGACAAATTCCTTGCATTTTTGAAATACTTGGCAATAAAGTTTATGCTTTAAGCATCTCTGACCGTTCAGCTTATCTGCTCTCCAGAATGCAGAACCATCGCACTTCTTCCATCTCTGTTATTGTTGACTGGCTCAGTGTGCAGCCGCTAGCTCTGTCCCCCACCCTAACAAGCCCCAAGGAGTGCCAGGCCTGAACCTTTCCTACTCTTAACACTGCACTCTCATTTCTCATACCTGCTGATGGTTCCTACACTGCTATCCCCACCTTTGTCATTTCAAAATAAAAGGTGAGGTCTTTTCTTATGTTTTCATTCTTCAGGCTGTTTGTGCATTGCATCTGAGTCAGATAGCTGTTGTACTTCTACCCCTTGGTTTTTTTTGTAATGGCCCCACACCTGCTGTACCAGTAATGGCTCATTTCACTGGGACTTTCTGACAGAGATGCTGAAGCTGAGCAACAGAAGCCTGAATTCATGGCAATGACTTCCTCTAATGTGACCATCATTACAACAAGGCCTCCCTCGGCTCCAGCACCCGCAGAACCTCTACTTAGCGGTGCTCTGTTTGATCCTGCACACCTCAGGGAAGTCTCTCCACAGAACCCTCAGCCTACCTCTGGAAACCTGGGCAAGTTGCATTATTAGAAGAGCCACACAGTACCAGTAGTCAGTTTGTATTAGCTGAGTGTTGGATATCCAAAATGTTCATGTTTGTTGTCTTCAGAAGCTATTTAATCTAATTAGTAGCGACATAAAATGTAGTACATGGAAATACCTATTTAGCACTTTTAAGCAATACCCTTAAAATAAAAGCTGTGTAAAGTCTCACGGCATGTCTATGTGTAACTCTTCATAACAGAGCAGCACCAAATAATCATAGCAAATGTATAATTCAGATTTTGTCTAGCTTCATTAATTAGCTGCTCTGAGGCAAAGGCACAGTGGCGCTTAGCTAAGTTCTAAAATCAATATGACATCACAATGGTGATGATGATGTGACGCAGGTGTAACATTTGCCTCACAAGTTCAGTGATTTGAATCTTGTTTGTTTTGGACATAAATCAAAGCATTGGGCAAACTGAAATTCTGAATATCTGTACCAAATTTCATGGCAATCCCAAGTATTAGCTGTTGAGATATTCACTCAGCACCACAAATGTGAAGCTGATGATGGTGGAGAGCTTCTTGAGACCTTGAATATCTTGTACAAAGTTAGGAAATCTATCCAGTATTGAGATAGTTCGGTCTGTGCCATAGCAATCGACAGACAGTGCCGTCCCTAGAGGTACGTAGTATCTACACTCAGTGATTCCACACACAGACATGCTGCCCTGTGATTTGGTGATTCTTGTATGTTCGCTTTTGCTTTAGTAGAAAAAGGTGCTAACAGACTGAACTTGCTGCAGATCTACAGCGTGTAAGCCTTGCTGTCCTTATTTTAGATTTCAAACACGGGAGTCACTTGCCTGTGAAATCCCCATCCCGACGGCCAGCTGTGGAATCTATTAGCTCTTTAACAACTCCAGCCAATCACGGAAATGCATCAGGTCAGTTTCCAGCTTTTTAAAAATGTCTTCGTCAAAGCCACACATAGATGCTCCAGTCACCTTGTTGATCTCATATGAGCAGTCATTATTTACTGACAATCAATCAGACGGCGTCATATGTGATAAGGCTTTTCTGAAAAGCTGCCATGAAAGGACTACCTAATCCTATTTTATCTACCTCTTAGGTGCTAAAAAGGGAAAGTATTTGTCACCCACCAACACCTCCAGGATTGAAATGAGGTCACCCTATGTAAGTTCCCTCCATTAAGTCTTAAGAGCTTAACAGCTCTACAAACATGCTTTCATTATATTCCCTATTTAAAAAAAAAAAAAAGACCTCCTTTACATTTGAGTGGACAAAGTTGGAATTTTCAAATTATTTGTACTTGATTGACTAAGGTTTTTGTTTTATATCAGGTGAAATCGTATCATGTCCCACTAGAGCAGATTGAGAAGGACTTGAATGATATTGAGACAAACTTGGCTCAGTTGGAGGAGGAGGGTGTGGAACTGGAGAAGAAGCTCCGCAGCTGTGAGGAAGGTACTTTCCCCCCCCCCATGACATTTTCTCCCCCTTCCTTCCTTTTCCCTCGTTTAAATCTACAAATCAAAGTTGAATTTGACACATCAGAAACAAACTTTTCAGTTTTGAACATAAACAGTCACTTTCTCTGAGCGATGATGTTGATGTTGACGGTCAACTTTTGACTCTTGTAGTGAATAACCTCGACACATATTCATGTTTTATTGTATTTGTGCAAATTGCTGAATCCTTCTGCTGCCTTAGTGTCTCGAGTGTAGAGTTTGGTCCTGGTTTCTTCACACAGGACACACTCACATTCACTCAGATCAGATGGTGCTCTGTGTGTGTTGGGGGGGATTTATCTGCCATTTCTATTACTGTTTCTGCAGCCAAATGAGGTGAGAGGCACAGACGGCCCACAGGGATGTTGCCTCTCTTTTGAGGTAGTGGGAGTAGGGAGCCTGATTGCTTTGCTCAAGGTCAACATGACTTGGGTATAGTAATATATATTCTGTTCTATTGCATTTCCCCCTCCACGCACCACCCAGGAAGCCTGAACATGCAATCACTTGGCCAGAATTTGACATCAATTGCACACCACCTAGGAGATCATCTGCTTCTCATCTGGAATTTGTTTGTATAAAAGCTAAACCCTGGCACTCAAGTTCAGTTCAGAATAAAATCACGTTTGTTCTCGTGGTGGTAGAATGTGGTCTACCTTGTCCTCAAGCCGTGTCCAGTGCAGCAGTCTTCATTGGTAAGGTGTGCTTTGGGGCGTGTTGCGATTGAGAAGTCACTAACTGGGAATGGCCATTATTCATTCTTAAAATCAGCTGATTCACATGCTCGGATATCCCTCGTTATAAGCCCCAACATTGCTACTAGTGCTGTGCTGTAGTGCATACAGTACCATAATAGGGGGCCAAATTAAACTAAATGAGAGATTTTTGCTAGATGATTAAATAAGTGTTGAGGAGACAAATTGTACTTCACTGTGTATTCCTTCTCTGTTGTCCTATACAATCTGTTAAAACGGGCATATTAGGTTTAGGAGTAGATGCATTTAACAAGGGGCTCTGGGCGTTTTTCATTGTCATTTGTCTGCCGAGCTTTTTTCCTTTTCATAAAATGTCAGAATGTGAATGTTTTGACATTTTTGTATAGAAACTGTCCGACGCAATTAGACATTCAGCTGTTCTGATAAGTCACAACTCATTTGACAACTGCAGCAAAATAAAGGAATGTCACATTCTACAGGAAGTGTGCGATAAATGAGGACTATTCCAGTCTAAACAGCTGAAGATTGCTAACAACCTTCTGGGAAGTACTGTATGTTGTTAAATTACATTGATTCCCCCACAGACATTATAGTGTGTTTGTTTTTTTGTAATATGTTAAATCAACTGTTCATAATTGATTCATGAATCTTGAGTAGTCGCACACCAATGTCTCTCTATAACCTTAACCGCTGAAAATGATCAAGGGTCACAAAAGAATCTCCAGATCCACTTTTACTAACATTTTTAAAAATGTTTTTCAGTGGGTGAGGGGGACATACTGATGAACCCACTAATGGTTGACTGGTTCAACCTGATTCAAAAGAAGCAGATGTACATTAGGAAGGAATCAGAGCTTGTATACATGTGAGTCCTCCTGTTTTTATTGTTTTGGTTGTACAAAGTGGTTTTCTCTGTGGGAATAAAGCCTGTCCTACACACTGGTGAAATGCTAGGAAGAAGCCAGACTTTTTAACTGTCAAACCATATTAGTTTTATGTTTTTGGGATAGAGTCAACAACAATCACAATAAATACAATTTGCCTTTTTGCCTTTTGTGCACATAATGACTCGTCATCTCAGAGCCAGGACTCTGGAGTTGGAGCAGCAGCAGCCGGATGTGGAGGGGGAACTTCGCAGGCTGCTGGAGAAGCCAGGTAAGAGATCACAGGTCCAGCATAATGTCCTTTTACCTTTTATTTCCATTGAGCATCAGGTTCTGCAACTTCATATCACAGATCATTTGAAGTCCAGGGAGGAGCAACAGCAGGAGAAGAAGCTGATGCAGAGACTTATAGAAATTGTGGATGGCAGAAATGCAATCGTGGAAGGTCTGGATGAAGACAGGCGGCGGTAATGTACTTATGAGTTGCTACATTACAGGGTTGACCACTAATGAAGAGGAGTACTAATTATTATGTTACATGGTTAACTATAGTTTTATTTTGATCAACTTTAGGGAGGTGGAGGAAGATCTGCAGTTGAATGAAATGATGAAAAATCTTGGTAAGTATTGTGTAAAATGTCTGAGTTGTTTTCACAGTTTGAATGTGTCATTTTAATACACTTTTTATTGGCAAATAGGAATAAAGAGAGCAAAAAATAAGAGGAAATCCTACATCTCAAAACTGTTCAGACGAAGAAGTAAAAGACGAATTGAGTGATTCTCAGGAGCTTTTTTTTGTAATCTGCTTGTTGTATTATTTTATTATCACTTTTTAAAATGTTATGTGAAGGCTAAGGGAGAGATGTCCTTGGGATGCATTGTGGGTCATGTTGTGTTGTATGTGGTGTGTGTTTCAAAAAGTTTAAATGTAATTTCGTTCCAAGATTCACCTTCAGTTCTTAGGTTGCTGTTACTTGTGGAATGATACATTTCTGTTTAGGGTGTACTTCAGTCTTTGCTCTTTTCACAATTATTTCACTGTTTGTGAGGGGGAGTGTCTAATTATATCACAAATTCCACTGCAGATATTTCACTTATGTTGATAAAACCTGAAGTATTCACAGTAATAGTTACAAGTCACCATATGCCTGTTATGTAAAGACACTGTATTTATTGGAATGAGGTATCTAATTAATTTTTAGCAAATTACTGTTAAATGCATTTGGTCAAAAAATTGGATGTTGGGAGTTAAAATCATTAGCATGATGTGGAAATTACATAGAGAGCACTGGCTGTTCACATGCACATATGAATGAGGAGAACAAAGGAGTAATCCTTCAACAGTCTTGATCCAAAATGAAATTATTTCAGTATTTATTTAATAATGGATTTTAACAAATTTCCTCTAAGGATATTAAAAGGGAAAAAGCCTTGACAATTAAGTTTGAATGGCTGTGGAGTGTAAAATGGAGAGCCACACAAGTTGAACTGCCTTGCTGCACCGTAGTCCCTCTCTCATGTTGTACTGTAGGTGGCAGCCTGCGTATGCTGTATCACAAGCCAAAAAAAAAAAAACTTGGAAATCCAATTTGCCACAGTACAGACAGTTAATTTCTTTGCTAATTTTATAAATGCTGCAAAAATGTTTGGCTGCGCTGATGCAATAATATTATGTGAAAGAGGATTATGTAGAGCGGTAGCTTGTGGCCAGGGAAGGTTCATAAACTATAGGTTGTACTGAGCTCTTTATCTTCAAACCTGGTTTAATTAAACGCTACTCCTTACTAATATCTGCATCAAAATTGCCTTGTACCTGAGCTAATAAAATGTTCAAATGACGTGTGGAGTCACTCATGTATGAAAATGGCTTTCACAGTGGTTGTACTGTAAGGAATATACTGAAATATTGCTTTTTAAGGATTATTGAATGGTGTTTTCTTGTACCCTATAGTATTTTTAAACTTGAAGTCTGTTGTCCAATAAATCCTTTGGCGATTACTGTGCATGAGAGGTTGAATTATTTACCTTTGGCAGACGTCCTTCTATTTAAATACATCCCTGAACTTTTTATCACTCCAATTCTGTGAGAAACCAACAATGCTGCGTCTCCTTGCATTAAAGCTCGGCAGTGATCAGATCAGTGTGTGTGCTTTTAATAAGGCTTTTTTTAAAGACAGCATCAAGATAATTCATTGACTCCCAGTATATCGCAGCTACTTAGAAACTACATATCCCTCATTTTGAGAGGCATGAAATTATGACCATGAACTTGGAACATGAATCTTTCTAGCTGAGCCGAGTTGGGGATGATATTGGTACAAAATGCCATGTGTGATGTGGGTGACAGTCGAGACTGAATGTGTGATATTAGAGTTAATTAAAGCTTTGCGCCCCATCTACTGCAAATGCTTGCACTTCTGCAATTAAGAATCAAAGGCGAGGGCTTAGTGTCGGGGGGGTGTCTAATACATGGTTTTAACAGGAACAGGACCTGATTTGCAGAGCTCCTAGCGACAAGCATTAACAACAGCCTCAAATTAGAGGGGCATTAATATTCATAAGTAAAACAATTCATCCTGTGAATGTGTGATGAAATGGAATCCTCTGAGGTGAGCTCTCGTGTCCAGGCTGCCATCGTTCATTAAAATATGCCATTACCTATGAAGTGCTTAATCTTTATGAAAGGGTGGTAAAATCTGTTGGAAATGCTCTGACAGAAAGGTGGAAATTGTAATATTGTTCAGCACCTTGCATTATGTTAATCCTGTGCAGCATTTATTTTTTTTGTGATGTCTAACAGCACAGGTTTTAGTGCATCTATGTGTTTTGTGCATCAGTTGTTGTTTAGGCTTCCTGAATGAAAATGTATAATCTTTATCTAGTCTGTTATTCTATTAATAAGATGTGAATGCTTTGTGATGTTTTAGGTTGGCTGGTGTACACTGCCACTTGCAACACAATCTAAAATCTGTGTGTGTGTGTGTGATCTTATTCCAGTCCCTGCCAGAGCCTCTGCCACTAGCCTGTAATTATGATCCTCGAGGTAATTTTATCAGGCTCATTAGCTCTGATGAGTAAACGAGAAGTGTGCCTCTAATTTATTGGCCATCTAGGCTGTAGACTTAATTCTCATCAGGGAGATCATAATATTTGTATAGAGAGACAGATATACAGTACATATCCTCAATTACAAGACTCCTAAACCAACACAGAGGCAGAGACTTTTGTGACTTAAAACCAGTAATTACACTCATAACATGAGGTCTGTTTGGATTATTGGGCACGTGCTAAAATTATTTCCATAGATGATGTTCTGTTGAGTCGGGCACCAACATCATTTCTTTTTGATTCAGGCATGATTTCAAATGAAAGTTATTGTTTGTCTTCTACTGAGTCTTGTGACTTTATCTTCCTGCACAAAATTAGATTCTCACACCTCTGCAAACAAAATTGCATTGTTTTGTTCCTTGTTCAATAGAGATGATCCATTTTCTGTGTCAGAGAATGTGTTAAGGGAGCGAAGTAAATATGCTCACAATTTTCAGTGTGTAGAAATTTGCATTGAGGGGAAATTATGCATGCTGGCTAGTGGAAATGAAATGTATAAAGTGCATGACTGGTAGACTTGACAAGTGCAGCTTTCATCCATCTCAAATGAATAATTTTCACTTCCCTTAAACATCCTTAATCCAACCATGTTATCAGCGGGCATGCAGGATTCTGCCAGACTTTCTCCTTAACGGCACAGCAACTTTCAACTTGCTGGAGATTCTGCACTGCAGTTGCTTACCACACGGTCTTAGAGACTCGCTCTTATCCTTTCCTGCTGGTTTTGTGGATCAGTAAAATTCCTTCAAAACACAATATATACATAACGCAAGTCCTAATAGATAGCAGAATGTCTCATTCTACCCTCCTCTGTGCTGCCTCAGAGGTCGACTTTAATGCACTGTATTTTACCTCTGATTCACATTGGCAGAGAACTCAGAGGATGGTTTTTTAAAAAAAAACCTATTTGCTCTGTGGCCCTTTGTCCTCTATTTCAAATTTCAGCGGCGGACCCTTCCATGCTGGTATAACATTTGTTGGAAATTCATATGCCTGAAAAGGAATAAAGAACATTCATGGTAAATTACTCATTTACAGCCCAGTAGTCAGCAGTTTAACTTGTTATTTTGGAGACGTTTTCTTGTCCTCTTTGCTGAAATACATACTTAAGATGATACTCCACACACCCACATCACAATCCTTTTAATTTGACAACAAACAATTAAAAATGTAATGGGTGTTTATGCTGCTAATCCTTGTGATAGCCTCTAATATGAAGGGTTAACCTGGCTATTTTCAATATATCCACTTTCACAGAAGCCCCAGTTTATGATAAGAATATTAACCTCATCAATTTCAGGTAACTTTCAACACTTTAACATCTTGTCTTAAAGACCTACGTGTTAGCAGGAGTCTCAGCCTTGGCATTTAGTGACATTTTAAGCCTTTTAACAGAATCCAGACAGGGATTTGCAGTTTCCAAAGGAAAATAATTTATATCCTCCTTTCTGAGAAACTGTGGGTAGAGGGATTAAATGCACCAGAGAGATTTGTATGTGGTGAGAGTAAAACAATATTGTGACTCAGTTAATACATTTCCTACCATCTACTTTCATGCTTGGAGGAAGTCAGCAGTCGTTACTCGTTGGGCTGAAGTTAGCTTTGATGGTTTTCTTGTTTAATTTTCTCATTTTCGAGGTTTTAAGTGTATAGGCCATAGTGATGCCAGCGCTCTCTTCTTATAACAGTGTTATGAGACACCATAAATAAGTGTCTGGGGCAATGACGAGTCTGACCCTGACCAATTATTTTGCATTCCTTCCCATTCAAACTCCTTTAAAACCTTTGGAACAAGCAAATGTTTTCACGCCACTTAGAATTTTATTTAGAACATAATCATGTCGTGTGCACCAAAAACCCATTTCTGAATGACAGTTTGGAACACAAAGGGTCTTTTCTGCATGTTGGATGGGCTGTGGACTGTGTATCTTCCAGTGTCTGTGATGGCTGCTGTGTAGTGAAGACACACAGTGCTCTGTTCTCTCTGTGGGCAGGCAGCTTTGATGCACTGCCTCTCTTATCTCATGCCTGGCAAGGTTAATGAAGTGGTGGCACTTTTGGAGGAAGTAGAAATGGGATGAGTAGCGAAGACCAGAGGAAGTTTGGAGATGAAACGTGCTGCTCTTAACAGCTGTAAGTGGCAATTTTGGTGAATTACATAGACAGTAAGAAAGAGGGCTGTCATCCTCTTAAACACAACAATCGCCTAAATCAGGAAGGGTCGATTGCATCTCTTTCAGCTTGGTTCATATGAAATTACATTAGCATTTAGTCATCACTTGTAACTTGATCTGTGAATCACCTCCTTATAAGGCCGTGTTAGTGTTTCTCTGCAATATGTAAGTCAGTTCTTGTGCTATGCAATGTTGTGAATTGTATTCTGATGTGCAAAACAACATTATAACACCTGGTAATCGACTTGTGAAATGCCAAACAATCTAAGATGTTTTCTGTCTTTGAGCATCAGATTATTCCTCATTTGAATCAGGGAATGGTTTTTAGTCTGCTCTAGACCTTTGAAGGACTTCTGAAAACCCTCTGTGCCTTTGTTAGGGGCAACAAATTCACCTAAATGAAAGAGTTGTCTTATTTTATTTGTAATACAGCAGGCGTCATGGAAGTTGGCTCGTGGCTACAGCTTAAACAAAGGGCACAAATGCCAGCCCTAATATAAATACAATAACAGGTGATGTACTGCTAATGCTCTGTATTCCTTTGCTTTTTGGTTTTAATATTCTAGTTCCTTTTGCATCTATAAGAGCTAATAGGTAAACAGTCTTGAATGGAAGAAATGAAGCAGGTCTACATGCCAATGAATTAGCATATAGATGAGTTCATCTCATACAAATAGTGCTCTTTTGCCCAGAACTCCCTGTGCTGAGCAAAGATCATGTATGTAAAGTATGCATGCAGAAAATGTAAATTAATCCATTTCAGTCATTATTCAATCTAATAAGATTTTTTCCCCTCCCTTCTCTCATTTGTCCCTTGTTGCTCAAATGTCCAGAAATATTGAAAGGGCAGTCAAACTGCTCCCCGAAGCAGCTTAATTGTTTAAGTAGTGGGGAAAAAAGATGCACACATAGCTGATGTGAAATTGATGCCAATTACAAACCAACACCAGGATTATTTTGAATGTGGATGAGACAAAGGCTGAATTCAGTTTAACATAAATAAAATCACCTTGGCGGTGGTGAAATCAAATGATACTATTCTAAAGGAAAGATCCCATAAAAGGAGTGCCGTTGACCCTATGTGTTAGATTTGAACCTCATTATTGTAATGCCATAAACAAACACCACCTCTGTGAAACACAACTATGTGTTACATAGCTCTTGTTATTATGCTAAAAGAAGCTTATAGAATTGGGTCAGCTAATTAAGCAATTAGCTTATTTCAGCTCTGTGGTCCGGCTGTTCCTAATCTAGGCCATTGTGAACCCTCATCTGCCAAAACCGAGAAGCTTGCGTGCCTCTCTCCCATCCCGGCTGACAAATGATCATGTCTGAAGCCAGAGAGGCAGAAGACTTGTCTATGTTCACTAATACTCGCATTTCTCATGCAAATCCCTGGAATTGAATAGGTTGTTTATTGTCTGCTTAATATACTGAGACATTTACGTAGTGCTATTGAAGTGTTTTCCCTCTGCATTTGGAGCTGTGTTAACACACATGAAATCCCAGACAGATTAGAGTTTGATAGCATTAGAGCCACGATGAATGTTGGTGGCTTTTAGCAGAGCCCACCACGTGACTTCTTACAGACTTCTGACAAGTTAAGCAGCATAACTGTGGAACATTAAATACATCAATGGTTAAATATCCTGGAACTTCTCCTTTCAGAAGAAACTGCTGTTGCTGTGGGCCTTCACTTCCTGCTTTTTTGTTTCTGTTTGT